GCTTAGGGCCCGCGCAGTGGGCCAGCCAGAGGCTTAGGGCCCGCGAAGGAATATCTCTGCCCCCCAGAAAAACAAAAGTTGTCACAAATGTTGATGTCTCCCCTTCAATCTCTCTTTATTTAATTGTTTTCTGGTTTCTTTTATTTGTCGTCGACTTTAACTATCTGATATTATGGGGAAAAAATATATTTCGTTAACTAGAGCGAAACGTAATGGCGTGAGAACGGATCAGTTATGAATCTTGAGGAAAACTGGGGCGATAGTCTTCTTTAATTACTTAATTGTAATTAAGACAGTGTTCCTTATGTTATCTGGTAATTACTTACCCAAGTCATTACGACTATAATGTACTTAAAAAGGATATGAAGTGAAGGATTTTCGATGGGACGGGGGGGGGGAGGGGGTTAAAAGGAATGGTGCCCAACCACTTAGTGGAAGGGAACTACCAGAAAGCACCAAACCATTAGGACTATATAGCACTGGGAAGGGGTCAGGATAAGGATTTAGGATGGGACGGGGGGGGGGGAAGGAATCATGCCCAACCACTTAATGGACGGTCGGGGATTGAACGCCGACCTGCATGAAGGGAGACCATCGCTCTACCGTCCACTCCAAGTGATCGAACCACTGAAGAGGGGGGGGGGAGTTGAATGTGGTTCTCCAGGCTGACACTTCTCCCACAGGCTTGGTACACCCCTCCCCCCCCCCCCCCCAACATTTCCAAATCTGACCTGACCTGACCCTTCCTGTGGCACCTGACACAACACTGAAATAATTGATATTGTAATAGAAATCACACGTTTGGCACAGTTACAGAAACTTTCAAACATGACGAGTCAAGAAGTACAGTGTACTGTACCCAAAACTGTATCATGAACTACAGTGTACTGTACCTAAGGCTGTATCAAGAATTACAATGTCGTGTATCCAAGGCTCTGTCAAGAACTGCAAAATTCTGTATTCAATGTTGTATCTATAACTACAGCATACTGTATCCAAGGTTATCTTAAAATACAGTGCACTGTATCTAATGCTACATAAAGAACTACAGTGAAGTGTTACCTACCTTGAGGTTACCTTACCTTGAGGTACTTCCGGGGCTTAGCGTCCCCGCGGCCCGGTCGTCGACCAGGCCTCCTGGTTGCTGGACTGATCAACCAGGCTGTTGGACGCGGCTGCTCGCAGCCTGACTTATGAGTCACAGCCTGGTTGATCAGGTATCCTTTGGAGGTGCTTATCCAAAGGCTCAGTGTACCCAAGGCTCTTATCAGGAACTACTGCATATGTATTCAAGGCTGTATTAACTATACAACATACATTATACAATCAAGATTGTATCACTGCGTATTACGCTTGACATTGTAATTAATATTCGGCGTGTCTGGGGCTCGAACCTGTGTCGTGAATTATGATAAGCGGATTAAATAACAGGCAGTGCCAGTTATTACCAGTCAGTGCCACGATTGGCCTCGTGGCAGTGCCAGGGCAGGCGGGGGAGGAAACTAAGGTACCCAGTCCAGTCCCTGAGAAGAAAAGGGACATTTGCTTAGCTTAAGAGCGAGATTTTAATGGAATTTTAATTGATTTAATTGTAGAGTGGAGAGTTGCAGGTGCCTCCACGGGCTTCTGTACACTGAGTACATGCTGTCTATGTACACTAGTATATATGCAATATATATATAAACTTGCCAACTCACAGAATAAGGTAGTTTAAGCGTTCATCTGTATTTCAAGACACTCAAGGGGGTACAGGAGTAAAAGGGTGCAGGGATACAGGGGTGCAGGGGTACAGGGGTAAAGGTTACAGGGCTCAGAGCATGGGCAACACTGCCTAGGCTGCTCATGTGACTATTTGACGTAATGTTACACAAGCTATATAATTCGTTGTTCAAACAACCACCACCTCTCTGCATCTCCTGTCCTTGAGTCTGTCTTCAAGAGACCAACAGGAACTCTTGCTATATCCTGTGACAATTCTCCCGTGTGTGGTAATTACCTAAGTGTAGTTACAGGATGAGAGCTACGCTCGTGGTGTCCCGTCTTCCCAGCACTCTTTGTCATATAACGCTTTGAAACTACTGTGTGTGTGTGTGTGTGTGTGTGTGTGTGTGTGTGTGTGTGTGTGTGTGTGTGTGTGTGTGTGTGTGTGTGTGTGTGTGTGAAATCACGGGGGAGAAATTATCACGTGATGAATAAATGTGGATAACTTATGACCACGAAGGAAATCACATAAAGGGAAAAAACTTGAGCGATTCCATATCTAGTTCAACACACCTCTTCAAAAGCACTGACAACATGTGCATGGTATCATAATAGATATGATATCATAATAGTTATGATATCATAATAGTTATGATATCATAATAGATATGATATCATAATAGTTATGATATCATAATAGATATGATATCATAATAGATATGATTATTATGATATCATATCTATTATATCATATCTATTATGATATCATAATAGTTATATCATAATAGTTATGATATCATAAGTTATGATATAATAGTTATGATATCATAATAGATATATCATAGTAGTTATGATATCATAATAGTTATGATGCTAAAAGTCCTCGTCTCGTAGGAGAGTTACCTACTTCTAATCAGTAGGTATCAGATCTTAATAAATTAAAAAATAAATTAGGGTTTTCAAAGTTTGTGATTTTCTTTGATCAGATATGAATGTTTTGAACAGTCTTGTCTTGACAATAAAGATGGTGATGACCACTGCCCCAAGTCTGGTTCAACTTCATTCTTGTTGCATGCTAATTTGGTTAGCATGTTTGTGTCATCATGATGAGTTAAGATTTGTGTGAGATGGTATTCATGAGAGAGAGAGAGAGATATTGAAGTTCGAACACTTCCGGAACAAGTGCTTCACTGACGACTTTTGTTCGAACCCCAACACTGTAAATGCTTCACCCACGTACTACAAATAATCGCCAACAGAACCTAAACACCTAACCTAACTAATGCCCAAATATGCACCGTATGCTAGTATATAAGTGTTAATTTATATTTGAGATCATTTCTATTTTGAATGAACAATATGTTAAAATCGTTGAATGCATCTTTAAGGGTCGACCGCTGGATGGAATGGACTTTGTCTGAGAACGGGTTGCACTGTGTGTGAATTTTATCAGCATTTCTGAACATATGTTAAGTACAAAAGCGTTCGAGTATTTCATATTTCGTTTCCTTCGTGGTCATACGTTTACACACACACACACACACACACACACACACACACACACACACACACACACACACACACACACACACACACACACACACACACACAGTAGTTTCAAAGCGTTATACGACAAAGAGTGCTGGGTAGACGGGACACCACGAGCGTAGCTCTCATCCTGTAACTACACTTAGATAATTACACCCACACGATTTCTACAGATTGTCTAGCTCAATAATTTCCTCACCCATCAATGGAGCTCCTAGCGTACAACAGCAGTACTCAAGTATAGCCAAGACAGGTGCCTTAAAAGATAACATCTTTGTCTTGTCATACCTTGCGACACGGGGACCTCTGAGACCCCTGGCATATACACTTCCGTTCACAGGAATAAACTAATACCGTTCTGATCCGGTATTTTTTTTTATATAAATATTTCTTGTAATTGAAGCCTTTGTTAGATCAGGCGGGAGAGACCGTGGCTTCAAGGTCGCACCAAGGACCGACCATTCCATCTCTGCGTCTCTAGCAGTAACCAATGATTAAACTAGAATCAAACCATGTTAGGGTGATAGAAAATACTATCTGCAACCCGAGTACGATTAAACTAGAATCACAGCTTGTTAAGGTGATTGACACAATTCGATACGAAGATATTACGAGCTCAATAACGTACAAGGTTCCAGCTCTTGGCCTACTAATCTTAAAAACCCATCACTGTTATTTTTGTTTAGGGATGGGAGAAGATGATAAGTATATAGAAGTAGGAGCAATGTTGAAATTATGTTGCAATTGAGGCAGTCGATTGATTGATTGATTAAAGATTAAGCCACCCAAGAGGTGGCACGGGCATGAATAGCCCGTAAGAATTGCTCGTCTTAGCGGACACTGCTAAGTGCTTGTTAGTGTGGAAACGGACATTTCGAGTGTGTTTGCGTGTGTTGTGTTGATTTAGGGGCGACGAGTGTTTGCGTGTGTTGTGTTGATTTAGGGGCGACGAGTGTTTGCGTGTGTGTGTGTGTTGTGGTCGGTTAGTCTGAAACAAACCGGACGGACATACCAACACTCTCATGATCCCGTTTTCTATCTATACTGCTTCGACAGCGACGTTGATCAGGTGATTAGGGCCGGGCGTGAAGGGTCAGAGGTCAAGGCCACACTTAGGGTGTACATGTGTCAGTGGGTGTGTGCAGGTGTGTGGTGACCCCTTCTTGTCACAGCCCTACCCCCCACTTCACCACACCTGACACGACCCCCCACCCCCTCCTCTTCACCACACCTGACACGAACCTCCCCTCCCCTCTACACCTGACATGGCTCTCGTCCCTGACAGGTGTGTGGTAAAGGGGGGGCGGTGAGAGGTGTGACAAGAGGCCACAATAGGTGTGGCAAGGAGCCGTGACAGGTGTGGGAGCCACCACGGCACACACACCTGTAGGCCTTGAGCCAGTGACGCTATCTTCATGCAAAACACCTTCTCACTTTCCCCCCCTCCCACTTCCTCTCACTAGCCCCTCCTCCTCCGTGATTCCTCCTCCTCCTCCTCCTCCTCCTTACCTTTACCCTTCTCCCTCATTCTTGTTTCTCGCCGGTCTCTCACTCTTCTACATCAGATTCCCTTTCATCTCCCTGCTCCTTTCTCTTGCCCAGTCTCCCCCCCCCCCACAGTCTGCAGGTCAGGCGGTCGTCCGGGTACGGAGGGAGAGGGAGAGAGGGGGGTAGTGCAGGGTGCCTGGTGCCCTTGGTAGAGCTGGTAGTATTGTGCTGACCTCAGTAGGTTGTATGGCGTCTCAGGGCCCTGGAGAAGCCGTCCCCGAATACCACCACCACCTGACGAAGGGGTGAACGAGATACGCCAGAAAGAAAATCCAAGTAGTGGTGTTTTTTTGTGTCTGTGTTTATCGGTGTTTTTATGCTGGAAACTTGTATATAAATAGCTCAGGGTGTCCCGTTAGAGAGGGCATTACGGCAGGAGTTGTATAGAGCAGAGTTCGTGCCGCGCTGGTGTGACGTCGGGCCCTCCCTGACTGCTGGCATCAGGACGTCTCCACCTTCCTGTCCGGTATTCAGTTGTGCCAGAACCCCCGAGCCTCGCTCACACTGTCACGAGGCGTCTGTCAGGGTGCTGCTGTAAACATATGCCAGGCGCCTGTGCGACCATAACACCGCAGAAGATAACTTGTGTGTGTCGTGTTGCATTTTTTGTAAGTGCAGAGAAGCCAACGACGTGAATTACCATAGGATTTTGAAGTTGGTTGACTTGTGAGCATCTGGTGATTATGTCCGTCTCCTGGCAACATCGGAGCGACGGTAACTTGTGGATACATATCGAGGCCAGGAGAGTGTCGTAGAGCGCACAAGGCTGGGTGAAACCTGCCTGACGGGTGCTCCCTCCCACCGTTAGTCAGCTTGACGTCAGGAGTATAGCGGGGGTGTCAGCCCTGCTCGACGGACACTCCGCCATACTCGAGTGTGGAGACAGTGCCACTCTGTGTAGGGGAGCAGTCATGTTGGCTCCCTAGTGCTAGTGCAACGGAATTAATGTTAAAGGTGTCTGGCCGCTAGAATACTTGTAAACTGTTTCCCCGTTTCGAGGAAAGTGAGAAAAGGGTAGAGGTTAGGGTGTTTAAGTGTACGGAGGCAGAGGATGTTACACCTGGCTGCAGGAGTACTCGATATCCAGAATAAACTCCATTACTGTCCACATGAAGCTGACAACGACGTTGTCCCCGAGGCGGCCGGACCTCCACACCGTCTGACTTCGACTGTGTGTGATGCGGCGCCCCAAGAACCAACTACTCCCCGTGCAGGAGATAACGAACATGCCCTGACAGAGTTAGAGAACCTCGGGGACTCCCGTAATGTCGAGGAGATTTATATTCCTGCCGGTAAGATTCTTGGGCGCGAAGCGATGGATCTCTGTAGCTTATCAGACCTGGAGAGTAGCAGGGATCTCCCCGGGAGGAAATATGATGATACCTTGAGCGGATCCGTCAGTCCAGGGAGTCAAACGTCCGACCTCCAGAGAAGCTGTTCCTCTACCTCCTCCTGTGCGGATTTCAGCCCGACGGAGGCCAGGGAGGATTTGGTGTTGGGTGAGCCATCAGCCTCCCAGATGCTGGCGGCACCCAGACTGACGTACACGACGCAGAACGACGCCCTGATGTCGGACAGCGGCATCTCTGAGCACGGCACTACGGAGTCCGAGTACTCGGACTCGTTAGAATCTGACGAGGAAAACGGGCGCGATGCGTCTGACACGAGCCGACATGCAGATCAACATGCTGATGAAGCCGCGCCGGTCTGCGAGAGCCTTGATGAATACGAAACAGATAGATTATTAAGCAACGATGATAACTCTACGGATTTATCGTGGTACGATCCACTGTCCAATGACTTTTTTATTAGTTTCACTTTTGCTAATAATGATCAATCTCTCGTAGAATTCCAACCTACGAAGCAAGGTGTAGGCCTCTTTAGCCGCCGCTCTGCTAACCGCCACAGACCACTGAAACAGCTCAAGTCTCACAAAAGGCAGATAGATAAGAACGAGCAAACACCCACTTCCTATGACCCAAGCTCCAGCGACTCGTACGACACCTGTCAAAAGATACTGAATGACAGCTCGTCTCCAAATCAAATAGAGAAACGGACAGGAAACCTGGAGTTCTACGGGAAACCGGAAGATTTTGATCGTCTAACAGAGGATCCGGTAAATGCTCTTGGAACCCCTCCTTGTGAAGACGACTTCTACATGCAGGTCATGCCCCTCTTCCCCGAGCTCGGTGTGACTCGCAAAGTTATGAGGATCGACTACGATTTCGAGATGCGAGACGACTTGTGGGGCTACTCCAGTACCGAGCCGTACTTCGACGCGCTAACTGGCCGCCGGATCCTCTCCACGATTTACGAGTTCGAAGTGTCCTCTGACGAAGAGACGGACACAGTGAGCGTGGCGGAGCTCTGTGGGGCTAGTGAGGAGGAGACGAGCATGTCGTACGACCACAGACTCAATGACATCGCCGAGGAGGAACATGATGCGGATGACACTGGTGGTGATGGTGAACATGATGCGGATGACACTGGTGGTGGTGAACGTGATAGTGACAGTTTTGCGAGTGAAATAACGGCGAACGACAAAGATTTTGAAGGCAATCTAATGGCAAAAGAAGTGGGAGTGGAACCTGAATGTGGATCAGCCCACGCCAGTGCTAACCCGTGTGTTCCCGGCGCTCCTTCAGGCACTGCCAGTGAAAGTGACGACGGCGTGACTGAAAGTGGTGTCCCTCCCAGACCTTCTAGTGATAGTGACTCGGCCCCTACCGTGATGCAGGCAGGCCAGACTTCCTCCCCCGGAGGCCAGAGTTCCTCCGCTGCTGCCGCCTACTTACCGAACATCAATACAGAAGACCCTTCTACCATTCCGGACGCCCAGGCCTCCACACCACACGGTGGAGACGCCAGCGAACATCCCAACGCCTCCAGCGGTGCTGACGACGCAAGTACACACGTCGAAACCCGAGCCATGGGACCCGCTGACGCCTCCAGCACTGCTGACACTTCCAGCACTGCTGACACTGGACTCATAAGTGCAGCTGACGGTAACCTGAGTGTCTCACTTCATCCTGACCACGGAGTTACGTCTGGTACCTACACCACAGGGACAACTGACGTTGACACAGGAGACGCAGCTGACGTAACTGACGCAGCTGACCGTACAGGCTCAGCTGACAGCGCCAGGATAACAACCACTAATATTACCCGAGCGACTAATATCGACGCTTTATCAACAGGTAATACTGACATCAACAGAGGCGATACTGACGTCACTTGCAAAGATAATACTGACATCACAAACATGGGCAGTACTGATGTCACATATAAAACGGATGTCGTCTTAGAATGTGATTTTCCTTGTATAATCGAAAGTGACATCACTAGTACACGTGATCAGTATATCATCGAAGCTGGTGACGGTGACATCAATGCGGGCGGTAGTGACATCAATGCGGGCGATAGTGACATCAAGGCAGACGATAGTGACATCAATGTAGACAGTGACATCAAGGTAGGCGATAGTGACATCAATGTAGACAATGACATCAATGCAGGCGATAGTGACATCAATGCGGGCGATAGTGACATCAATGCAGGCGATAGTGACATCGATGCAGGCGATAGTGACATCAATGTAGGCAATAGTGACATCAATGTAGGCAATAGTGATATCAATGCAGGCGATAGTGACATCAATGCAGGAGAAAGTGACATCAATGCGGGCGATAGTGACATCAATGCGGACAATGGTGACATCAATGCAGGCGATAGTGACATCAATGCAGGCGACAGTGACATCAATGCAGGCGATAGTGACATCAATGCAGGCGAAAGTGACATCAATACAGACGAAACTGATGTATATACAGACGAGACTAACTTCAATGCAGACTTGACTGACATCTATGCAGACACATTTGACAGCACTAGTACAAGTAACACTGACATCACAGGCGTTGATGACACTGACATCACCGAGGGTAGCAAGACTCCCATCAGTATTCTGGGAAATACTGAGATGTCAGTGTCAAACAAAACTGACTCTACGAATGCACATGACATCATTAGCGCCGGTATTTCTGACGTCACTCACACTAATGGTCCAGTAGCTCCTAGCACAGGTAATACTGACTTCACCAGCACAGGTAATACTGATATTACTAGCATAAGTAATGCTGATATTGCCAGCACTGGTAATGCTGATAGTGCTAGCACAGGTAATACTGATATTCCTAGCACAGGTAATGCTGATACAAGCACAGCTGATACAATGGCAAGCACCGTTGATGCTGGCATCATGGCTGCAACAAACAGCAACAATGTAAACACAGCCCCAAGAGTTGAGAATATTTTAACGACGTTCGACAGCGCAGTAGCTGGCCAGGAGACGAGTCGACAATCCTCAGAAGTCATCGACGTGTCTTCAGTCAGCAGCAGCAAGTTCAGTGTAGATGAAGGTCTTGCGGTCCCCTCCAGTGTCGCCGTGACTGACAGGTCTGTCTTAAGTCACTCTCCAAGACGTAGCGTGGAGCTAGAAGCGGAAGATTCGGAGTCTGTCAGTCGAGCTGTGGCCTTGATGGAAGAGGATGTTGTCAGAGTAGCTGACGTGATTATTGTTGCTCATGCAGGCACATCCGTCGCAGACACAGGGGATAATCAGACTGACATTGACGCCAGCATTCACTGCGCTGATAGCCCATCAGCATCACAAGACGTAGGTTCGAATGCGTCTAGAAATAAAGCAGATAGCACCATTACCGAAACGGCAGCGTCTAGGTTCACGGTGACCTCTCCTAGAGATCATTTGCATGCAGATACTCGTCAGCTGGGCAGTGCCAGTGGTAGGGAAGGGAAGCGAAATGATGCAGATATGCAAATTCTGTCACCTGATCGTCCTGGGCTGGGCGCAAGGTCGGCTCCAAAGTCAGAATTAACCATTACAAATGAGGGGCCCCACATGCCTGGGGAAGGGAGGCAATGTGAAGATGTTATATGTATAAAAGAGGCACCAAGGCCACAAGAGGGAGCTTTCTCTAAGGCTCTTACAACATACTGTAGCGATAGGAGAGCAGGGAGCTCCACGGCGGGGTCTCTCGGCGAGCAGCCACCATGTGCAATTGAAAACAAATCTCAAGAGAATGAGAGAACCACAAGCAACAAGGATGCAACCTCCGCATTGGTAGTCAGGGAAGACACCGATCAAACACCACAAGTGCATGACAAGAGTAACGCTGCCATACAAGAGACTGTGACGACACATCATATCTGTACAACAGAAACGAATACTAGTGGAATTACCAGTCAGTCTCTGGGAGGAGGAGGAGAGGACAGTAAGAATGAGACAGTCCCTCCTGTCTGCCACAACACGCAACAGACAGAAGCAGTCTCTGATTTGGACGTTCCTCCTCCAAAACCTAAGAGACTATTTCTACGTCGGATGTCAAGTGAACGAAAACTGAAACTGCACAATGACTCACCGATATCAGAGGAAGATGGGAACGCAGACTCCAGTACACCTCCGAAGAGACCACTAAGACGCAAGGAAAGCCTTAGGCAACAAAATACAATGCCTCGGAAGTCTAATAAATCCGTCCCACCAACAAATCTCGATAAGGAACACGAACCACTGGCAGTAGAAAACGAAGCTGGAGAACATTGCGGGTCAAGCCCAGTGGGTGTGGAGGCGAGGGGAGCGCGACGCTGCAAACAGGCTGGCACTGTGCCAAGGCCCTATGATTCAGGTAATAAGAGGCTGCTGGGGAATAGCAAGCACTCGGGTGATGCAAGAAGCGGGTCAGGTGATGCTGCCGCGGTGACGGAGGTGCTGGCTCGGGAGACCAGGACGACCGAGGTCCCTGACGGAGCCATCACACCTGATAGTCACACTCAGGATAACGCATCTGGTCTTGGAACAAATAGGACACTCGAGGGATCTGCAGATGGTTCAGAAGTTCTGTCCGAGGAGGTTCTCTTGGATTTTAAAATCTCCAGTGGCGACAGTGATCAGTATCACACTAAAGCAGCAGCCTGTCTGGATAAACATATTTCTAGTCCATCATCAATCAAGAAACTGACAAACCATTCTCTAGACAGCAACAGGTCGCCAAGAGTGGAAAAATCGAAAAATTTATCAAAATGTGAAGTGACAAAAGCTGTTGAAATAAAAGTTACAGAAGGTAATAGCGAAACTAGTGGCAAAAAGATACAGAATAACAAAGATAATATATTTATCCCTTCGCTGCAAGCATCAAAAGAAATAACAAACAATATTGGTGATAATTCTCAGGTTTTTAATAACTCGCATCAAACCGAGCCAGACGTCAAGTCATTGTCGGAAAGAATTCTTACTCCAGAAAATACAGAATGTCCTCGTCCTCCAGAGAGAAGGAAGAGGTCTCCTTCTAAACTGCCAAACGGTGTATACCTGGAGAGGACCACGGACGCCATGGACGTCAAGGCCCCAGGGGTATCCAAGCCTATGGTCCCGGAGAGGACATACAGGAGGTACAAGTCCCTCCCCCGGCAGCGAAAGCCGAAGGCCGCGCCCTCGCCCACCTCCCCGACCCGCATCCCGAGGAAACCAGTCGGAAGAGCCGCCTCCACAGCCACGTGTCGCCCCCAGCACAGTCCCAGTGGGCTGAAGTTTTCTTCGCCCGAGGTAACCTCCCTGACGCACTACGACCACCCGACGGCGCCACGACCGGCGGAGAGAGCCTCGGTGATGCTGTTGATGGAACACCTCCGAGAACACGTGCCTCGGACCATCGACTGGAGCGCCATAACGCCTCGCCTCAGGCAGCGTGATCGAGCTGCCTCCGATGGTTCCATCCACAACAACGTAAAGAGAAGAATTTCGTTAAAGAGAACAGGTTCTCTAAAGAAATTATATTCCTCGATACAGCGGAACTTTATAAATAACGTGCGAAATTCTGACGTTAATGAGAGTGTTATCTGTTTACCTAGACCTAAAATTTTCGGACGGAAGCAGAGGAGGTACGATATGAAGCTCTCGCCCGACATTCCTTCAGAGATTCCTCAGCTAGAGCCGTACAGTGATTCCTCGTCAGTAGACTTGGTAGAGAATTTACCAGACGTTTATTTATTTCATTCTAAGCTGGAGTTCTTCGAGGACAAAACGTTCCCATCTCCTGTCGAAAGGAAAAGGGTGGCTTCGGAAAGTGAATGTCGGGATGAGAAAGTACTCGGTGAAGATGTTCCTCCAGTTCCATTGAGAAGACACAAAAGAGCGAGAAACAGAACACTCGTCATAGAGGCTTCTGAAGAACACGGTGAGAACGCTGCTGGCAGTCAAGAACTTTTGGATAAAACGGCTGATCTCAGTAACGACAGGAAAACCTCAGTACCTGCTGAAGACATCGTCGTCGTGCATGAATCTTGTTCTGTTGCTCGACAACGGTTCTTTTCAAGTCTGGAACCAGGAACACAGGGAGAGACTGGCAACAAGGAGCTCAACACACAGCGCATCAACCATAACACGTCACAATTATGTACGAATGATAGAACTGAACCCGACAACGCTCAGGCTTCGTCAGCGAGATCGAAGCTCAACCCAGACATGCCAAGATGCGAGAGAGATTTCCCCGAGGATAGAGTACCTTCGCCTCCTGCTGAAGCTGCTGGTGGAGATGCTGGCGACAACGGCGATCTGGACGAAGCTCTGCTAGCTCTTGCTGATGCTCTATCGCATGTAACACACAGTGAATCTGACGACGTTGACTCTGTAGGAACTTGCATAACACACATCTCTGAAGATGTGCTCCACCCCACTCTCAGTAGAGGCCAGACAACGTCGAAGAACCCTGAGAGTGACTCACACGACCCAGACACGACTTCGACAAATATTTACAATGCTTCCGACACCTTAAATCGGTGGATGCATGACCCGTTTTGTGACACTGACGAAGGACTTCGAGCGGGCGACCCATCTCAGGACTTGATGCAGTTCGATAAGTCTGGCGAGGACCAGTCAACCACCGCTGGAAGCCCCGGCGTTGAGACTGCTGTCGGGCCATGCTGGGAGCCTCCAGCTGTCTCTCTCCAAACCTGGGAGGAAAGGCAAGGCCTCCCGAGGGAGGAGTTTCCTCCATTACACCTTCGTAAACCTCACGAAGACGGGATAGTCGCCAAACTCGTGGGAGCTTCCCGCTCTACAAGTAAAACTGATCAAGGTAATAACTTGTACATTCTTGTGTTGACACCGTTGGGGCGATGAAATATTAAATGCTCTTTGAATAGGGACTTCACTGTAAGTTTAGCATTGCCATTGTGGTTCTGTAGGTCCGGACGAATCTTGCTTAGTGTCTGGAACCGTCCAGTTCAGACCAGGGCGTCCTGGACAAATCCTAAAAATGCTGTAAGTAGTAGTAATACATAAGCGATACGTGAGGTGGCTTTTAATGTTGGTGTTCTGGGTCATGTTGATTGTCAAACGTGTGTGTGTGTGTGATAATATAATGATAATATAATGTATATACGATGAACGAAGTCAACTAACGAGAACAATAACATTTTTTTTAATATATGGTTTATTATACATAAGTAGGAAGAGATTATATCAAGTTCGGCTTCCTGCGGACTCTAGGTGACGCAGCAACGAGTCCGGTTGTGCGTAGTTCCATAGCCCAAGCTGACTTATTGACACACGCTCTGAGGGGGTGCGGGGGGCACAGTGGGTACGCCAGTAGATGGAGAAATGCTGGGGGGGGGTAAGTAGATCACGGCTACTGCTGTAGATGGCAGTATGGTGCGAGAGGGAGAGTGTCTACCAGTAGACCAGTGGATGGCAGTATGGTAGAAGGCGTAGAGTACCAAACTAACCACACCATTGAATGATGAACGAGTCAAGACAGTTTAAATTTGATAGAAAGCCATAAAGACAAAGATTCAAATAATAATTCAAATGCTAATATTATTAATAATAACAGCTTACCCGACAAATTTGCCATCTGTGGCAACGATAGAAATGTTGGCAACACTACAGAATAATAACTGACTAATAATAATAATTTGGTCATCTTAGCGATTTGTTTTCTAATTCAAAATGACACCCGATGAGTTTCAAAAGACGATCATTATTGTTTTAAATTAACTGGATCGAAATTACTACCAGACCTACTATCAAAATTACTTTCAAAACTATTACAATTACTAATCGTGACTATCAAAGTCGCCAGGATTAAGGCCTTGGTGATGTAGTTGTATGGTTGCTGATGTATGATGTGTATGGTTGGGGCTCTGATGTAATAGTTGTATGGTGTGTGTGTGTGTGGGGGGGGGGGTGGAGATGAGCTACCAGCATGGTTGGGGGGGGGGGGGAGCAGGTGTGCTGACTCTCAGCTGCCTGTCAGTGATGTGGGCGTATGTGGGGCTGTGCTTGCGTCGTCGTCGTCAGTGGTGTGGGGGCTGTGCTTGCGTCGTCGTCGTCAGTGGTGTGGGGGCTGTGCTTGCGTCGTCGTCGTCAGTGGTGTGGGGGCTGTGCTTGCGTCGTCGTCAGTGGTGTGGGGGCTGTGCTTGCGTCGTCGTCAGTGGTGTGGGGGCTGTGCTTGCGTTGTCGTAGTCAGTGGTGTGGGGGCTGTGCTTGCGTCGTCGTCGTCGTCAGTGGTGTGGGGGCTGTGCTTGGGTCGTCGTCAGTGGTGTGGGGGCTGTGCTTGCGTCGTCGTCAGTACTGCGGGGCTGTGCTTTTATGGGGACTATGCATGCGTCATCAGTACTGTGGTTCTGTGCTTGTATGGAGGCCGTGCTTGTGTCTTCGTCAGTGCTGTGTGGAAAATGTGATTTTAAAGTTTTTTTACGTTGATTACGTAAAAAATGCGACGTAGGTGAAGGGACGGGTATTGTCGCAGACTTGAGGAGCGCAGTGGTCTTCCTGCGTTCTCCAAAATGGGTTAAGGGGGTTCCACGCCGGTGGTGCTTATTCTAGTTTGTCAAATAAGTCTTTTTGTACAACTGTGTCATCCGTCTTCGCCTGTGAATGGTGTAAAAGTTAGTACCCACCAAACACACCGAAACCACGACGTTGGTACAACGTTCGAACAAGTTTTTACACCTCCTAACCAGTTATAACAACCAATATAGCAAGTTGTAACAACGTTCTAATACGACATAAACACGTTAAGCCAAGATGTAACAACTTTATTACAAGTTGTAACAAGCGGAAAATACAGTTTGGGTTTGTGTTTCCCGGGTAAGGTTAATGGTGGATCTGTACTCACCTAGTTGTGCTTGTGCGGGGGTTGAGCTCTGGCTCTTTGGTCCCGCTGTGGGACCTTGGGTTTGTTTGCCCCCAAACAAACTGTTTGTGGGGGACTGTATGGTCCGGTTTTATTATTTTCGTGTAGAGGATGGTGGTATTTCCCAATCACCCTCATCTGTTACACCTTGTAACCCCTGTTGCTCCCCCTGCCCCCCCCCCCCCAACACACCCCGATCCCCAACCGTCATCTCCCCCCACCCTCCTACCAGTATTCACCCCCCCCCCCTCTCCCCATCTCATTTGAATGCAACGGGGTTAGCTGCCTGGATATTTCCAAATGGTCTTTATGGTAACACCTGTGCGTGCGTGTGTGCGTGCGCGTGCGTGCGCGTGCGTGTGTGCGTGCGTGTGTATGTGCGCGCGCGCGTGTGTGCGTGCGCGCGCGCGTGTGTGCGCGTGCGCGTGTGTGTAGCGAGGTATTGCGTTATGAATCCACTGGACGAGTATGTGTATCAAATACTTTAGTAACCATTCTACGAAACCCTTACACCTTTCCTCGTATTACCCAAATTTAAACTAGTGATCTATTTCCCCCTTAAAGATTGACACAACATTCGCAACTCTCCATAATTCTGGCACTTTACTATAATAATTTATTAAATATAGAAATCATTAAGTTCGTCTTAACATTTGTTTGGGTCTCTGGCAAAAGTCACTCGTTTAAACAGATAAATTAATAAATTCTTACTTGATTAATAATTCATAAATGATTAAGAAGACCAGACCACACACTAGAAATTGAAGAGACGACGACGTTTCGGTCCGTCCTGGACCATTCTCAAGTCGATTGTGATGAGGACAGGTAGGGACAGGAATTAAATAGGCAAGAGAGAGCTGAGGAGGAAAGTCAGGTGTAGGGGATAGTATGTGCTTCTTAATCATGGGAACATGATTAAGAAGTTTTTCTAAGGCAGCTTGTGCTTGGTGAACATGTTCTCGTTCCTCAACTTCTTGAGGTGTGGAGCAGCACCTTCGTCCTCCTAAGGTTTCCTGACGTCAAGAAAATCGTCAAATCAAGTGTGTCCTCCCCTACGACATCGCCAAGGATTTAAAGCTTGTTGATACTGTGCCCCACGAAACACCGATTAGAAAGGTAGAGGTTCCTGGCATCTGGAGAGCTGTCTTAAGTTGGATAAGGATATGGGTAATTCAAAGTGCCCTATCCTAACACAGTCATCACACTAACGTGATGTGTCAATGAGTAAGGCGCGTCTGGGAACATCCTGTGCTTAGATTCGAACCCTCATCATTGCCCTTGTGGATTTGTTTAAATGTAGACATTATAAATCTTAACGGGAGGAACGATAGGTTTTATAACGGTGAACTTAGTTTTAAATTGTTGGCAATTTTCCACTCGCCAATATTCTTCCGGTCAAGGAGGCGTTGTCCACTTCTGGCGCCACACGCCGGCAAAGAAAATTTACCTTCTTAATAGAACAACAACCTCCGCCCTTACAGAACGGCAACAAGAACACCCTTTCAATCCCACACGGAAATCACAATTGCGTGATGCATCAAATGAACAAATCCACAAGGGCCGTGATGAGGATTCGAGCCTGCGTCCGAGAGCATCCCAGACGCTGTCTTTGAGGTTCGAAGCCTCGTCACGACCCTTATGGATTTGTTCATTTGCCTCCGGAAGGACTTAATAAGTATCATAACTTAAATACTTCAGAACATACTTTAAAAGTACGTCAATCCCCTTCTTACAGAGTCCATGTGATGCCTGTTATCGTATTCATGTTTTAGCACCATCATATTTACTGTACTGTTCCAAGGGTAGATGAAAAATGTCAATCTTCATTTCTACAGACACTCCTTCACCCGGCCCACCTGCGGACTCTGAGAAGGAAGACGGCCACCGCCATCACCAGCATCAGCAGCACCAGCAGGAGGAGGAGAAGCAGAAGGCGGAGGAGGACCGAGCACAACAGGATCGGTGCGTGGAGGTGTATCCTGAGACCGTCAGGCAGAGGCAAAGGAACATGATGGCCTCCTCAGGCAAGGTGAGCCACCGGCCGGGTCCTCTTCCGGTCCTCTGTGGGAGAGGGAAGAGTGTGAGTGTGAGTGAGCGAGTGTGAGTGAGTGTGTGTGTGTGTATACTCACCTAGTTGTGCTTGCCAAACCACCTGGTTTCATTACTTTATATTTACTTATGTGAGTGTGTGTGTGTTTGGGAGGATGTATTTGTGTGTGTGTGTGTGTGTGTGTGTGTGTGTGTGTGTGTGTGTGTGTGTGTGTGTGTGTGTGTGTGTGTGTGTGTGAGGCTGTAGGTGTGTTTTACTGCTCCACCAGACACGTTGCAAAACCAGAAATCTTGTGTACCTAACTGGTGGACAACCCACACGCGGGTAAAACAGCTATGTGGGTTGGAAGAGGTGGTAGTGAATGTGTAGGCAGCGCGCGTGGGCTGTAAGACACTGACCTTTCCAAGCTTGGCTCTCTAATTTACCGCTCTCCATCACGTTTTGTATTGATACGGGAAATCTTATATCTATGGACATCATGGATTATCGCATGTTGGGTTCTGTGGGTGCTGCCGAAGCAGATGTGGCTTCAGCTGCCGTGGTTTAGCGAATCTCTCGGTGACTTCTGCACTCTTCTTGCTTCAGATGTGAGGGATAAAGATATGTTTATATAGATAAACACGTATGGATAGATTGAACAACATAACACCAGGGAGTCCTGTAGCGAACACCAGGGAGTCCACATTTCAAACAAACTTTATTCGGATTATTCCGGTGGTAATGTCGAATCGAAGAGTAGCCAGCTTTTGGGCTGCTCCGGGCCGCTTGGGGCCGCTCAGGGCTGCTCCAGGTCGCTTGGGGCCGCTCAGGGCTGCTCAGGGCTGCTCCAGGTCGCTTGGGGTCGCTCCGGGTCGCTCCGGGTCGCTCTGGGTCGCTCTGGGTCGCTCTGGGCTGCTCTGGGCTGCTCTGGGCTGCTCTGGGCTGCTCTGGGCTGCTCTGGGCTGCTCCGGGCTGCTCCGGGCTGCTCCGGGCTGCTCCGGGCTGCTCCGGGCTGCTCCGGGCTGCTCCGGGCCGCTCGGGTCCGCTTTGGGGTCCCTCCATCATTCCTGGCCCCTGGTGTGATCTTGTGCAAGAGACGAGCGTCCCGTTGTCCTGACCTGAAACTTTACCTCCTCGGCTCATTGCGCCATCCAAAGCTCTCTTTGGGCTTTGACAACCGAAGGATTTGGTAAGAGAGGGGGAAAGAGTGGTGAGGATTAGAAATTTAGGGAATGTAGAATGAAATTGGTGATTGGGTGGGATGTAAAGTTTACTGGGTTTGGGATTTGCAGTTAGTTGTTGCTGGTGCGTGAGTAATGGGTGGAGTTAATGTGTTACTAAATTAGTATATAGCCGAGTGGTAGTGAAGGGTGACAACTGTCGCGCTGCTGCTATTATTCTTCATTGACCTGTTTTTCAGCATGCAGAAAATTTAGTCACAAAATCGCGGCTGATAATTAGAAACCCAAGCTATGCATCTGAACATGAAAGCAATGACGACGTTTCGATCCGCACTGAATCATTATTAAATTATTACAATACATTGTACGTCTTGATAATGGTCCAAAGCGGATCGAAACATTGTCATTAACTGCAGTTTCAGATGTGAGGCTTCGATGAATATTAGAGAGAGTTCTCAACCATTACACTTGGTTTCTTTTATTGGAAATCTGGATTTACATCGAGCGAGTTATTTCGTAAAGTTATTAATAATTATAGAATAATTTGGATTTTACATAAAATGCATTTGAAAAATAATAGTGGAGCATTCGTAGGAACAGAATATGATTTTAATTTCTTTAAACTACGATGTAAAATAAATTTGTCACTGATATTTTCTTTCATTCGTTCCGAGACTATTTTGACATCAATTCCTCTTCTTTTCTCGCTGTGATGTTATTTCAACCGAGTTAACAGATTCAGATTCAGATTCAGATGTTTATTCAGGTAAGGTATATACATACAAGTGATGTTACATTAATGGATTGATATATAGATAGAGCTAGTACATACAATGCCTAAAGCCACTATTACGCAATGCGTTTCGGGCAAGAAAAACATTAATATCTAGAACTTAATACTAATTGAGCATAAAGAATAAAAGATGTTGAGAACAAATACAAATAAAGATAAAAAAAAAAAGGGGGAACATGACTGAAAAAGCAGCACAAATACAATAGGTTGACAAACAGTGTTGATTAAAAAAAAAAAAAGAAAAAAAAAAAGAAAATAACAGACATGGGTTGACAATAGAGGAGTGAGGTAGATTACAGGGAATTTATTAGGTAGTGTTTAGTTTTTATCTTAAACTGGTTGAGAGAGGTACAGTCTTTAACATGGTTGGGAAGGTCATTCCACATTCTGGGCCCCTTGATTTGCAGAGCATTTCTAGTTTGATTAAGACGTACTCTAGGAATATCAAAACTGTATTTATTTCTGGTGTGGTGCTCATGGGTTCTGTTACAACCTTCTATGAAGCTTTTAAGATCAGGATTGGCATTATAGTTTAGCGTTTTATATATGTATAATACACATGAGAGAATGTGCAGTGACTTAATATCTAACATATTAAGAGATTTGAGTAGGGGTACCGAGTGATGTCTGGGGCCAGAGTTGGATATTGTTCTAATAGCGGCTTTGTGTTGGGTAATTAGAGGACGTAAGTGATTTTGGGTAGTAGAACCCCAAGCACAAATACCATAGTTGAGATAAGGATAGATAAGGGAGTAATAGAGAGTCACCAGAGCAGGGCGCGGTACATAATATCTGATCTTAGAAAGAATCAGGCTCTCCCTTAGCTTGATAACCTGATAACCTTGTATCGCATGAAGTATAAAGTTTGCAATAGTGGTTTACGAGCTTGTGGGGGTCTTGGAGGGCATATAGCGATATCTATCTACCGTATATGGTACTTGCTTTGGTATGTAGGTCATGCCTCCTAACCGACCTGTCACTTGGACCTACGTATATATGCAGACCAATAGTTATACATTGTGTGTGTGTATGTATGTATATATATATAATATTAGGTAGGCAAGCCTCACCCAAATTGGCAGAGGGAATGGTCGGGGATACGGGATGGTCATGTGCTGGTCGAGGTCTTTTGAATTCCAAAACTTTTTGGGCTTTCGGGCTTTTTTTAATTCAAAAGGGAACAGCAGCATGCCAGGGTCACAATAACTCCCACGACGATTTGTTTTGCACTGTCCACCACCAAAACATTAATTATATATGATGGATGTTTTAGCATATAAATACCAATAATCTAAAGTATATGGACTAATCTAAAGTATATGGTATAATCTAAAGTATATATTATTCGTTTGTCTCTTTTTAAGGTAGCCAAAATTTTCAAATTAAGAACATTTTAAGAGAATTAGCTACCATGATTTCCAAACTGAGTACACTCTTTCCAGGTGGACATCAAGAACTGGAATTCCTCGGGCAACAATAATAATAACGAGAGCCAGATGAGCCCTGCAAAAGTCAAGAAGTTCCTGCCTTCCGTCAAGGCTCTGAGGAACCAGTTCGAGGCTGGAAAGACAAACAACAGATCTGAAAGCAATGGCGGTGTCACCAATACGGGTAATGGTACCCTCAGTCACAGGTCCTCAGGATCAACATCATCCTTGGCCAGCTCCACCTTGGAAAAGACCAGCAGCACCAATAGCTTAAACTCTGCCAGCGACTCCATGGAGAACCTGCTCAGTCCGTCCTTTGAAAACCAGCGGCAGGTGGACCCTGAGGAGCCTGTAGAGCCCATCTTCAATCAGTTTAAGAAGGTGGATGAAGAGCTGAAGGATCTGATGAGCAGGCCGCCCTCCACCACAGGATGGAACCCGGTGAGTTGTTTAGAGATACAGTACTGGTGAAGGTAGCTTGCTTGGGGTAACAGGGAGGATATTTTCAAAGTTTCTTGAACGGTGTTTTACCAAATTATGAGTCGACAGGTTTTTGCCTAATGAAATTTGCCTTAGTTTGAGAAGCAAGTCACTTTGCTTTCATTGATTTTTTCTTCACTGTTACTGTATCTTAACAGCTACAGTACTATATGCTTGCTCCTCCTCATATGCTTTTCTCACAAGTCGAGCCTGGCCTCGGGCCGGGCTTGGGGAGTAGAACTACTCCCAGAACCCCATCAACCAGGTATCTTCCACTCTTGTTTTTGGGGTAAAAAATCTACAATATTTAATCGATTACTGTACCAGAATTTCAACCATTTTTTTTTTATCTTCCCCCTGCAGAGACCTTTGCTGAAACGCCTCTACTACACCCCAGAGGTGCCTAAGATCCAGAGTCAAGGCACCACTTACATCAACATTGAGGGCTTCCTGGAGAAGTTGCCCTCAGGGAGAAAGAAAGCCACCTTTTGGAATGCCTGGAAAAGACGGTACTTTGTGGCAAAAGATGGTGTTCTCTACTACTACCAGGTGATAATAATTATAATAACGGTACTGTAATAATTAATAATAATAATTATTATAATTATGTACAATTGTGATCTCAAGATGTTATACAGATGGAAAAGCTGTATACAATATATGAAATATAATCTAAATTTTTTAATACTGTATACAGTATTTTATTTTGAATTGTTTGAAGTATTTATTTATGTATTTATTTATATACATGAAGGTACATTAGATTCGTGAGAGTACATAACATTGGTGTCCTTACATTCTTGCAAACCCACTAACACGCACAGCGTTTCGGCCAGGTTCTTAATACTGTATAACAGACAAGTTTATTAAGAAGTACATTGTAACAAAATTTGAGTTTAATATAATAACTACATATAGATTGATGGAAATTATTACTTATTAATATAGCTTGACCTGTATCACTTCAAAACGTACAGTAATTAATATTAATATTGAGGAGCACTAAATTACTGCCCATCCTGGCACAGTGTGCTATACTCGCCCTCATGAAATTTATATTTAACAAAATGAAAACTACCATAACTGATGCAGCAGCTCTGTGGAGGAAAATAATAATTGGAAAACTAAGTTCAGAAAAGTGTAATATTATTATGCACCTAATTGACAATTTGCATTGCTGTTGCTAACTACAACAAATGACACGCAGAAATTTGTGGCAAGGTGTTAGTTACAGTTAGTTAGTTACTGTACATGTTAAAGACTGTACCTCTCTCTCTGTACCTAAGTTTTTAGTCATTAATGTTTTTCCTGCCCGAAACGCTTTGCGTAATAGTGGCTTTAGGCATTGTATGTACTAGCTCCGTCTATAAATTGATCAATTTATGTAAAATCTCTTGTATGTATATACCTTACCTGAATAAACATTTTATTTTATTTTAAATAAGGGTGTACAAACAACTTGGTAACAATTTTCTGATTAATCACAGAACACACAGGCAGAGAAGCCCAGCATGAAGATGACGCTGATGGGAGGTAAAGTGGAGTGTATGGAGCCCAACATGATCGGAGTTGATGATGGGGTGAGTGCCAACACTCTAGTTCTCTTGCTTCATGTTTCCACTTGATTCACTACATTTTTCATAGTGTAATTAACCTATTCTTTGATTTCACTGCAATCCTTATCTCGCACATGTAACATTTTTTTTATCCATTTGCCTTTGTGGGGGTCATTAATGTCAGTCACCTTTTGATTCACTCTGTTGTGACCCCCCATCTGCCCTAGTGGGCAACTATGTTCACCCATCTTCCCATGGTCCTCCTCGTGCTCCTCTGCAAATGTCAGTACATGTAAATACTGTATTTAAATGCACCCTTCAAAATGTAAATAATGGGTCTTAAACCATTCCAGGTAGTAGCATTCCCTACTGTTATTTAATGAAATGTCCTCTACTTTATACATGTCTTGCAACTGATTATACACGAGTTTATTCTCAAAATCATGTACTGTTTGAATCACATTGTTCAGTGCTTCACTGATGTACAGTACATACTTTAAATAGTGAACAAATAACTACCAAGTATATACACTTAACCAAACCAATATACAAAATCATAACATACATGTAGTATATGATATGATAATGTTAATAATTTGGGTTTGAGATCCTATTGCTTTTATTGGACTGTGGCATACCTATATTAACAAATGCGGTTTTGGGGATGGCTACTTCTTCATTGACGATTATATTAGAGAATGGTTTAAATATACAGTTCCCCTTACACTGTGGCCATTGTTTTAAACAGTTGTGTATTCACTTTTATTAGACTGAGGCTTGGAAGAAGAAAATAAGACTTAAAAATAGTGATTGCCAGGTACATACAGTACTGTACTTTATATACATTTCAATTTGCTCTCTACATGTTGTGTGCTATCCTATTTCACTCCTACATCTGTTGCTTTGCTGGTTACACCTTCACATGCTTTACTGACTACTCCTGTTTTGTACTGAACTTCAATGAATATCATTGCTTCACATCCCTATTTTGTGATTATGACTTGGCATGTATTGGGTACGGTTTACAAAGACGTGCTCTTACAACATCCTTTCCTTGATTGGTTCATTGACTCGCCATTTTGTGTTTATATGCTTCACTGACTGTCCTTGCATTATGTACTTCACTGACTGCCCCTGCATTGTGTACTTCACTGACTGCCCCTGCATTGTGTACTTCACTGACTGTCCCTGCATTGTGTACTTCACTGACTGCTCCTGTATTGTGCATTTCACTGAATTGTGTACTTCACTTACTGCCCGTGCATTGTGTACTTTCCTGTCTAACCCTGCTTAATTTGCATTCTTCCCTCCCCTGTATCTCAATTGTTTAGAATTCTAGCTAGAACATTCAGCATTATTAGCATACACACACACTCAACATCATTAAATGTTGAGCATTCCAAACATGGTGAGAAGTAAAACAGAGGCAGGCATCAAGAGGTCTTAAGTTTGCAACTCCCAGCTAAACAACTTGCAATACAGTCCTTCTAAGAGTTATTTTAAACAGAGTGGTAGACAGTTGGAACATGTTCAGTGAGAAAGTGATGGAGGCCAAAACCGTTAGTAGTTTCAAAGCATTATAAGACAGTGTGCTGGGAAGACCGGACACCACGAGCGTAGCTCTCGTCCTGTAACTACACTTAGGTAATTACACATTTCTCACTACCAGATTTTTTTCCTAGATTCTGAACAAATCCACAAGGGCCATGACGAGGATTCGTCATGGCCCTTGTGGATTTGTTCATTTGATGCATCATGTTAGTGTGATCTCTGTGTGTTCCTAGATTCTGGCAGATATTTCCAGTATGTTATGTATACCAGTATATCAATGCCCTGAACTGTACGATACGTGTGTAGTTCCAGTATGTTGCATTATTCCAAGGTCTAGTACAGCTTTATTTTGATTCCATATAGATGTTTTTAATAGTTTCTACCATGCACTATAGTACAGTATTTGGTTGGACAATATTGTTTCAATTTTGTTTGTTTTTTGTTTTTAAATGAGTGAAGGTTTTCAGTAGGTCATGTGTAATGGATGCTGTTGTGTAGCTTGAATGTTAAATATTTGTGGGGGCTTCAATTGTGCTTTTATATAAAAAAGATAATGAGTATAAATATTGAATACTTTCCCATTCTGGTTAAAATTTACATTCATAATGTACTGTTAGTGAGACAACAAATATAGCTTATTAATAACCTTACCGTAACTCTGTTTGGAACAAGATTCTTCAGAGATGATAATGTTATTGTATCCTATATTATGCAGGCATTACTTTTTATTTTTCACATAAGAGCAATTTATAGATTTTACTAAAATAGATCACCCATGGCACTGCCTACCTGCCAAAGCTAACACTAGGCCACTAGTGTTAGTGGCCCCTTGGGTAAATTCAGGTAAATCAGATATGCTTTATCTGCAGCATCTCTACAGGTCCTCGAGTGTCAGTGACCTTAAACTCTATTGTAAATATATGAACCCATTTTTACCCCATTTGGTATATTTATAACTGTCCCTTCTTCCATTTATTCACTGTGTCTTAGTAAAAAAAAAATCTGATTTCTATACTAATAGTGCTACCATCTTTATCAATACTTTACCATGTCTGACAATGCTCTCTTCTCTTCTATATTACTGCAAGCATACCTTGCAGTTACTGTACCTTGCTTTGATTCTGGAGGTCAAGGTCTCCGTAGCCTGGTCTCTGACCAGGCCCAGTTTATCACGTGCCAACTATTTCTTGTTCTATACATTGTCTTTTGATAACACTCTCTCTCATTTCCCTGCAAAACATTGCCTGTATGCCCGGAGGGTGTGTGCAGTTTATGAACTAACCCATCTCTCTCCTTCTCTGTCCTGTTGCTGGCCACCATAGAACCGAGACTCTAGAGCCTCAGGCATGCTCGGCATAGATGATGGGGTAAGTCTCCCATGGCCCGCAATTGTCCCAAAAGTCTCCTTGTTGCAAATGAATCTGTTTACTTTCCTGATGTTTTATGTGGTTAAATATGCTACTACAATGTTTATTTTATGTCTTGAAATTCAGGATTAACTTCCTTGTGTTAAAAAAGTACAGCTTTCAACACAGTTTTGAAGTTTAATTACCAATTTGTACAGAGATCCTAATGAAAAATTATTTGGGCTGTCTTGGTGGCCTTTCTTCATTTGAGTACCTATTTCTTCCAACAGAAGGGGCACTATGTGGTGGTCCGGTGTAGCTCCCGACAGGAGGCTGAACGATGGCGAAGAGCACTCGAAACGCACACAGTAGAAGACTTTGCAAGCCAGTATGTCCAGCCGTGGCCCATGCCAACTAGTCCTGCCCTCCTCAGGGACACACTCGTCATTGACCTCGGATCTGCCTCTGTCAGGGCTGGCGTTCTTGCCTCCCAAGGTAGGTACTCGAGGGTATATGGGTCAAGTGGTAGCGAGAAAATGTCTTAATTATTATTTAGGATTGCCAAGTCATTTGAAATAGAATATATAATTTGTATGAAATTTAGATTTATTTAGGTTGATTTAGGTTTAAGTTAGTGCGATGGTATATTTACCTAGTCATATAAATATATTTAGTCATATCATATACAGTACTTATATATATTTAAGTAAATATACCTAAAGATATATTTACCTACCATATACAGTATACCATAGCCCAAGAGCTTAAAAATATAAGTTTTAAATCAGTCATACCCTGCATTTAACTTGTTTAAGCAATGATTCTATTTTGTTCTGATAATGTTACTCTGTGCCCCACAGCGACCCTTCCTCAGGTGTTCCTGCCATCAGTGGTGGCCACAGAGAGAGAGACTCGACGTCAGGTGTGGGGTTTTGATGCCCTGGCTCCAGACGTCCGAGCTGCTTCCTCAGTTTCCTTTCCCATCAGACCCTCCCACAAAATTACGAAGGTATGGTAATTTTGCTTTAATAAATGCCTGTGGCAGGCAGAATTGCACACTAAATATAAATTTAAAACCCAAAATGTTATAATTCCTTACAAATATTATTAATAATAATATTTATGAACAAATATTTGAGGTTTTCATTATAATTTTTACATGAAGTAGTAGATATATTTATCAAGCTACTAATCATGCACAGTGTTTCATACATGTCTTAAGATTAATGTTTGGGTTAACGTGTATGTGAAAGAAACATTTAAGAAATTATGCAAATTTTATATAGTTTTGTTATGATTTTTAATGCTAAATGGTGTAAGTTGGAGACCCTGGTTTTGCTTCCAAGAAAGGACAGAAATGGTTGCGCATGTTTCCTGTCACCTAATGCTTCTATTCACCTAGCAGTAAATAGTTACCCGGGGTTAGTCATCTGTTGTGGGATTGCATACCTGGGGAGGGTCAGTGATTCAATCTTGGAGGGACCTCAATACAAGATGAAAGTACTGTATATATACAATACAGTATATGTATACAAACAAACAGGCTTCCTGTCCCCAATAAAATGAATTAATAGATAAGATATATAAATGTACAGTATACATGATGTTACAGTAATTAACCATTTCTTTTGTATGTTAAATTTGTTAAAAGTAGTACAGCATTTTATTGCATTTGAGAGGTCATTCTATAATTTAGGACCCCTAGGATTATTTGGGTGGTATTTCTGCCTTGGTTAAGTCTGGCTCTTGGAGTATTAATATATTCATACCTAGACACTATAATTAATAATTCATTGTGTCAGGGACAGGGAGCCAGTATGTACATACAGTACATGTTAGGCTTGTATCGAGTTCCCCCCCGCCCCAGGTCGAATTACTGACCCTCATTACAACAAACTGTCTAACTTCTGGGCACCTATTTACTGCTAGGAGGACAGGGGCATTAGATGATTGGAAACGCATCTAAGCATTTTTGTCCTACCCAGGATTCGAACTCTGAATTCTTGACTGTGGGTCAAGAACAAACCTGACTGTTCTACTGGGACCCATCCCATCTTCTATCATGACATATTGTACAGTATGGAAATATATTTAGTTTAGCAGTTTTAATGTATACAAGTTAAACTTAAAAGGCGCTGCATATTAAGATAATATTATGAGCCCTCCCTTTCTTTCCATCGCCACTCAGTATTCTGTGGACCTGAGTGCCATCTCAAGTCTCCTGCAGAAGACATTTGCTGACCTAAAGGTTGACCCCAAGAACTACCATATCCAGCTCTCTGTACCTAGAGTCCTCAATAACAACACTCAGACGGAACTCCTGCGCGTCCTTTTTGACAAGTTCGGCGTCAGGTCCGTCAACCTGACTCACCAGTCCATCCTTGCACTTTATGCCTACAATGCCACCTCTGGGATAGTTGTGGACATTGGCGAGAGAATGGATATTGTGCCTGTGATTGATGGTTAGTGTTGTTGTTGAGCAGTAATTGTTCATAGATTATCTTGTATTGCATTATTGTATTGTTATAAATGCAGCACCATAATTTACATAAAATATGCCACAAAGAGAGTTTATGCTTTGAAATTTAAATCACTATACAATACAGTAATTCACTTATCACTTACAAATCAATTAAGAAATTGAAGTGTTACTTGCTTTTCACTTCACTGAATGTTGTCCCATCTGGTCAACTCCACAAAAGCAGCATTAAAAAAATATTCACATTACAGTACAGTGCTCAAATTACTAAAATTTTATACTCATTGGTTGAATTGTCATTCTTTTATGTTCATGATCCCATTAAAGGTTATTAACACTAATTATTAATTAAAAAAAATTATACATTTTATTAGCATTAAACTCGACACACAAACTTCACTTCAATGTAGTGATATCACAGTACTTCACACCTGCACTTTCCACAGGATATATCGTGGATGGCGGCGTGTCCAGAGTGCCTTATGGTGGATACCGCATCCTTGACCACCTCCGGCAGTTCCTATACATGAGGAACGTGTCGCTCATTAACGAGGTGGAGAGCTATATTATCAGACATGTAAGTGTATCTTGGTGATTTTACTCATTACTCTCTCCTTCCCTTTCCAATCTAGGCCTCCAGTCTTTTCTGTATATTTTTCCTTATTTATTTTAATTGCTGTATTTTCTCCCTTTGTATAAAAAGTGAGCACAAGTTGTTTACAAACATGCAAATATATCTTACTGTATATACTATTCTTATTGTTGCTTTTATAATTGCTGTCTCCCTCCTCTCTATCATTATCCATGTTCATCTCATTATTACAAACTCCTCCCTCATCAGGTGCTGGAAAACATCTGTTACTGCGCGCACCACTACAACACCGAGAAGGCACGTTGCACCAACAATCCCGACCTTTACGAAAAAGATGTCTCTCTGGCCGAATACTTCCACACCAAGGACTGCCCCTTCGAGTGAGTGTCATTCAGTTTTTGTCTCTTTTGTCGTATAGAGTGAGACTGTAACTATACAGTAATTTTTTTTTTATATTTGTGTAATGTAGATGATTTGATTACACAGAGGTCAAGACTCTTGAAGATAATGGTACTAGACAGTAAACATAATAATGATACAGTACTGTAGTTATATACATCAGATAATTTAACAGTACAAACTTGCTCTACAGAACCATCTCGCTGGATTTCGGTCGCTTCCAAGCCACCGAAGGATTGTTCAACCCTGACGCCTGGGGTCTCGACCACCCTGGCCTGCATAAATTGGTTCACAAGGCAATCATGGTGAGTTATACATATTGTGCCAAGTGTCTTGTAACTGTGTTTTTAAAGTTGTTGTGAATTGAAGATACAATAGATGCATAAAAATAATAAAGGTACAGTATATATAATGAGGACAAAAATTATGTTCATGGATGTTGCTTGCAAGAGTGAGACAACAGATTTGTGTGCATGTACTCACTTGGCTGTGTTTGCTGGGACATGGCATTGGATCTTGGGCTCACATCAGTCTTTGGTATACTGGTGCAGTTGGGCTTTATCACACCTGCATGTATAGTACCTGCCTGTGTGTGCTTGCAGGCACCACCTTGCCTTTGCAACCATTATTAGTTTGAGGCAATTGCTGTATTTATTCTCTTTCTGACATCTGTTGAAAATACTACTCTAATTTCCATCTACGTGCCCTCAAGTCTTCCACTTCTTGCATTGAAGATTGTTTCTTTGTCTACTGTCTCTCATCATGTCCCAATTTTCCCCCATTCCTCTTCTTAAGGAGAAAAGTAAATAAGGAATGGAGGCATGATGCAAGATCACACAGTATCACACAGGTAGTTATGTGATTGCTCCGTTGTCTACTAAGTGTAGTTATAGGATGAAATACTCTCGTGGTGTTCCGTCTTCCTAGTACTGTCATGTGACACTTTGAAACTACTGTATTGATGGTTTTGGCCTCCACCACCTTCTCATTTAACTTGTTCCAACTGTCTATCACTATTTTGCAAAAAAAAAAAAAAAAAAAAAAAAAATCTAATGGGTTATTTAGTACCTTTGTTTTCTTAGCTTGAATCTATGGCCTCTTGTTCTTGAAGTTGCAGGTTTCAAAAATATTTGTTAATTTTGTCGATTCCTGCTACTACTGTACTTTGAACATAGTAATCGTATCATCTCATTTCTTTCTGTTGTGTAGCTTTGGCATATTTACCACCTCTAACCTCTCTTTATAGTTCTTGTTCTTCAGTTCTGGAAGCTATTTAGTGGTACAGTTATGTACCACTTTGCACCTTTTCCAGTTTATTGATGTTGTTCTTGTGAGATAGGCGCCATACAACTGCTGCATATTCCAAGTTTAGTCTCGCAAAAGTCATGAACATTTTCTTTAATATTTCACTGTCTATGTATTTAAAAGCGATTCTGAAGTTGGAAAGTGTAGCATAAGCACCTTGGTGTCCTTTGTGTGGTCCTCTGGTGACAATTTGCTATCCAGAACTACCCTCAAATATCTTGTTTAGTCAGTTTTTGAATGCTTTTGTACAAAATTTGTGGGTTGTGTGGGGCTCATATTTTCCTTTTCCACATTCCATAATGTACATGTGTGTTTGCAAGCATTTACATGCACCTGCAGGAGTGCTTATTCACCTAATTATACTTGCATGGGTTGAGCTTCAAGCTCTCCTTTCACATGTTAACCTTTTGTCAACTGGTGAAGGTTATCCTTGAATGGTTCCCAAGCTTTTTTGGTGAAGGTTATCCTTGAATGGTTCCCAAGCTTTTTTGGTGAAGGTTATCCTTGAATGGTTCCCAAGCTTTTTTGGTGAAGGTTTTCCTTGAATGGTTCCCAAGCTTTTTTGGTGAAGGTTATCCTTGAATGGTTCCCAAGCTTTTTTGGTGAAGGTTATCCTTGAATGGTTCCCAAGCTTTTTTGGTGAAGGTTATCCTTGAATGGTTCCCAAGCTTTTTTGGTGAAGGTTATCCTTGAATGGTTCCCAAGCTTTTTTGGTGAAGGTTATCCTTGAATGGTTCCCAAGCTTTTTTGGTGAAGGTTATCCTTGAATGGTTCCCAAGCTTTTTTGGTGAAAGTTATCCTTGAATGGTTCCCAAGCTTTTTTGGTGAAGGTTATCCTTGAATGGTTCCCAAGCTTTTTTGGTGAAGGTTATCCTTGAATGGTTCCCAAGCTTTTTCAGCTCTTGTTATATTTATCCGAGGGCCACTACCTCCCTCTAGTGGCCTTGATGGGGGATAAAAAGTTTGTGGCTTGTTAAAGATAGGACAAAATCCTCAGGAATAATGGGGAGGAGTGGAGGGGACCTTGTACTTAGATGAGGTTCTTGAGGAGTTCTCCTACTCCTCAAGCCTGGTCCAGAGCTGGGCTTGGTGAGCAAGACAACTCCCAGAACCCCATGCAGGTACAAGATCTTCCCCTTACCCACATTCAATTATTCCTAAGGACTTTTTCCAACTAGATTTTGAAGCTTAATATGGAGTCTGCCTCTACCACTTGTGTATTCCATTTTTTCCCTATTCTGACGATCAAAATGTTTTTCAAAATGTCTGAGGCTCAGTTGGGTGCTTAATTTCTACCTGTCTTCCCCCCCCCCCCCCCCCCTTGTTAATGCACTACTCACTTCAAATTATTTATCCTTGTTTGCCATGTCTGTTCCTCTAGGGAATTTTTGTATGTGGTAAAACATGACTTCTCTAATTCATATTTTCCAGTGGCATGAGATGTTAATTCTTTTAATCTTTCTGGGAATGAGTGAAAGTCAGACAGAATGCTGCAAAATGTTATGTAAAAGAAAATTTAATAACTAAATTTAAACAAACATTTATACTTGGTAGGAAATAAAGCTAAACTTTTATTAACGTGGTAAAGATAAACTTATAATTTACAAGCTTGCCCATTAGCTTTTATTTTAATCAAAGTTTGGGTTTCATTTCAAAGTATATAAATGCTCCCATTATCTTAAGGTAATGAATGCCTTTGACTTCCCGCAGGAATGCAGTATGGACATCCGGAAGGAGATGAGTCGTAGCATCTTCCTTGCGGGTGGAGTGACCCAGCTGCCCGGTCTGGTCGATAGACTGACGACAGAGATCGATAACCTCACACCACCAGCCATCCGGCCTAAGGTAAGAGAGAGCCTATGGCACCGTGTGTGTGTTGACGAATGATTGTGTGTGTTTTGGGGAATGATGTGTGTGTTGGGGAATGATGTGCGTGTGTTGGGGAACAATGATTGTGTGTGTGTTGGAGAAAATGATGTACATGCAAGTGTGTGTGGGAATGATGTACTCACCTAGTTGTGCTTGCAGGGGTTGAGCTCTGGCTCTTTGGTCCCGCCTCTTAACCGTCAATCAACTGATGTACAGATTCCTGAGCCTACTGGGTTCTATTGTATCTACATTTGAAACTGTGTATGGAGTCAGCCTCCACCACATCACTGCCTAATGCATTCCACTTGTTAACTACTGGAAAAGTTCTTTCTAATGTCCCTGTGGCTCATTTGGGTACTCGGTCTCCACCTGTGTCCCCTTGTTCGCGTACCACCTGTGTTAAAAAGTTTATCCTTATCTACCCTGTCAATCCTCTGAGAATTTTGTAGGTAGTGATCATGTCTCCTCTTACTCTTGTCTTCCAGCGTTGTGAGGTGCATTTCACGCAGCCTTTCCTCATAACTCATGCCTCTTAGTTCTGGGACTAGCCTAGTGGCATACTTCTAAACTTTTTCCAGCTTCGTCTTTGTGTGTGTGTGTGTGTGTGGGGGAATGAGTGTGTGTTGAGTGGTATGGAAATGGTTTCCTGGTATGGAAAGAGGATGCTGAATCCTCTTTCCATACCATGAGCCTTTAATTTCACACAAGTATTTTAAATGTATAAATAAATATATTTATTTATTTGCAGGTCCATGCTTCCCCCTACCGCTACCATGCTGCCTATATTGGTGCCTGTGTCCTGGCCGAATCTCCAGCCTTTGTACAATCCAGGATCAGCCGAGAGGACTGGAATAAACATGGGAATGCAGCACTACGCAAGTGGTCTCTCTGATGACCACCAATGAAGACGTAATCAGTTTGGAGCCATTTAAATGAAAGGAGAAGCAGCTCTCAAAGTTTTCTGCACACACAGGAGGAGAAATAAGTCATCATGCATGTCTATCATCATGATAGCCACAGCTAGGCAACGTACGATCCTTCCCCTACATAATCTTTGTTCCTGTTAAATGTTGTTGGGGAGAAGGATGGTACAAGCCTCGGAAACACAACCACCACTTTCCGCGTTGAATTAATTTACTTGATTCAATTAAACCGATTCCTTGATGTGGAATCGATCAATCGATTCCTTGATGTGCAGTTTCTACACTATGCATTTAATTCAAAGATTCTGTGGTGCAAGAAGTATATCTGGAAATTTACAGCAATGGCGTGCCAAAAAAAAGAACAGCAAGGCTTCTACAGCATGATGTCAAGTTACTGTCAAGTACCATCAGCAACAGCGATGTGTCAATAGTTATTTTGCGGTGTAAACAAAAATAACAAACAGATTGGCAACACTGCTCAAGCTTTACTACACAAATGCCTCAAGAACTTGCTTCGTAGCTGTGCCTTCTATCAGTGGTACAATTTGTATTGTTATTAGTGATTAATAACATGCATACACCAAATTGTCTTATATACTTAGATATTCTATAAAGTCACTGAATTTTGTTATGAAGTATAAAAATGGAGCTTTGTCTTGTGCACAAATTTCTAAATCATTAACAGATATTTTTTTTTTCTTTCTAAGCCTCAAGTACATGAGCCGTATAATATTGCCAACACTGGCTTGTGTACTTGTAGTCAGCATTGTCCTTTATTAGTCAGCAGGCAAGTTAGTCAGGTATGTACAGGTCAGCTGGTAATGTGGGCAGGTCAGCAAGGGTGGTGTGTGCTGGCTACGAGGCATGGTGGGAGTATCACCACGTGTGGTGGTGAAGAGTTTGACTGACCACGTGTCGTGGTGAAGAGTTTGACTGACCACGTGTCGTGGTGAAGAGTTTGACTGACCAACAGGTGTGATAGTCTGGTCAGCAGGCATGGTGGGGCAGATGTGCAAGTGCAGTTGATGTCCCTTTTTTTTTTTAATCGGAAGGCCCTCCTCCAGCCTTACCGTGCCTGTGTGTTCCTTCCTATGTCATGATGTATAATTTGTATATACAGTATTCTAGGCAGGGAAAGGTTAACTTATTTTCCATTGTGTAATATACAGTTGCAGTTGTTTACTTACAATAAATATATTTGTATATGAGACATAACAAGTTTGATTAGCCTATCTACTCCATAATAAATTTGAATGCAAAACACTTTTACATTTTAATGAACAATTTGAGAATATATATATATTGTATTTATAAGATGCTAATTAGTTTTTTTATTACAGATTTTGCCATATGCTTGCAAAGCCACTAACAAGCCTAGCACTCTGGCCAATTCTTAAAGTAACAGATATAACTTATCATAACCCCGTGGAACCACCTACCCGCCGAAGCCGTAAATGCCAAAACTCTGCTGGGTTTTAAAATACAGCTGGAAAAGATCAGGGCAAATGGGTGGACCATTAACAAGCCGCCGGCTTCCTGTCCTCATCGAGGCCACTAGTATTAGTGGCCCCTCAGGTAAATTCAGGTTTGCCTATACTTTGAAAATTTACAGTGATTCACACCGTAAGCATTTTCTCATGCAATTAGCCAAGTCAGTATGACTATACAGTACTGTATTGCACTTGCAATGAGCATTCAGGTCAAAGTTCACCCCCTGTCCTAATCCCCCCCCCCCCCCTTCTCTCTTTCCTCTACACCTGTGTGTGTAGAGGCACCTCTACACCTGTGTGTGTGTAGAGGCACCTCTACACCTGTGTGTGTGTAGAGGCACCTCTACACCTGTGTGTGTGTGTAGAGGCACCTCCACACCTGTGTGTGTAGAGGCACCTCTACACCTGTGTGTGTGTAGAGGCAATCATGTGGTACATTGAATCTGTTGTGCCTATGACTTCCAGACGAACTAAAATCTGATCCCTTTTCCTTCTCCCTGAAATGTAAAAAAGAAAAAAAACCTTCGGACCTGTCTCCCTCCTTCTACCTTCTCATGTCTCCTCACGTCCCAGTGTTAGAGGCGACTGTGATATGAAGGTTGATCCTGAGACCACTGCCACTTCTGTCCTTGATCAACACTACTTACATTAACCTCTCAGCTGCTATCTATTTCCTCCCCCAAACCCCCACTGTTCACCTGTACAGGGAGCCCCCCAACTACGAATGGATTATGTTCCGAAAACGGGGTTCATAGAGCAGTTGTTTCAAATGGGGAATTGGATCTCCCAGAGGTGCAATGTCATAAATGGGGGATACATTCCAGGACCACCAAAATCTTTACAAAACCAATATTTTTTGGATATACTGTAATATAGAAAACACAGCATATTATTTACCTTGAATGATAGCATTGTCCTTGTCAATGTTGGGTGTTTTTGAGTGAACAAAATTAGGTATTGGAGGTGGCATTAGATGATGTGTTGGTGGCTGGTCATCCTCAGTGTCACTGGCTGCATTTGATGTTGGAGCTGATGGGTGTGTGGCAAACTTGGGCGGGTCACCATCAGTCACTAGCTGCTGTGGAACTAAGGTTCCGAGTCAGTCTTTTTCATGAAGGTCAATAAGGCTATTGACAGCAGTAATAATTATATGAAAGTACAAATATTTGATACACGAAATAGTGATGAATTCGTAGAAAAGAAATGTACGTTAAAGTGACTAATATGCACAGCATTTAAGGGTTTTTGGGAGGCAACTTTTTCAGGAATTAGGATTTTGAGTGACTTTGCACAACTATCTTTGTTTCTAAGTAAATTTGCTGGTAGAGTGTAATTGATTTTCAGGTCTCAAAGATTGTTAAATATTTTGAAACAAATTGCCTGGCTCTTTAAATATTGCCAATATGATGTTATATTTATTATATACTGTATATGTTTTGTTAACATGAAACACTTGTTAAGCACTATTGTCATCAATAATTTTGGCCAATTTTTGAACAAATTCGGCTGCTCCCTTCTCATCGCACTATTGTTGTGCCATCTACTTGTGGTTATCTTGAGATGATTTCAGGGCTTTTAGTGTCCCCACGGCCCGGTCCTCGACCAGGCCTCCACCCCCAGGAAGCAGCCCATGACAGCTGACTAACACCCAGGTACCTATTTTACTGCTAAGTAACCGGGGCATAGGGTGAAAGAAACTCTGCCCATAGTTTCTCGACGGCGCCCGGGATCGAACCCTGGACCACAGGATTACAAGTACAGTGTGCTGTCCGCTTGGCCGACCGGCTCCCCAGTGGTATGTACATTTATCATACCCTTTTGACTGTTAAACCACCCATGACTTGCTACCAATGTTTCGTCTCTCACAGTTGCACCCAATTCCATTTTTTAAATCAAAAGTACTCTTGTTTTCTCCTGTATGAGCTCAAGGCTAAATGAATTTCTACAATTCTCAATAGAAACGTTAACAGCTCTTCCATACAAATTAAATGTGATCTTTTCCTTATTGTCATTGATTTCAATGGTGCAAAATCCTTCATGTGCTTAAATTTAGCATTTTGTCCTTTCAGTTCTTTGTGTTGGGGACAGGCAGCCAGTGTATATATACATGTTTGGCTTGTATCAAGGCTTCCCCCCTCACCTAAGACCAAACTACTGACCCTCCCCAAGATGCAACCCCACAACAAACTGATTAACTCCTGGGTACCTAATTAATTACTGCTAGGTGAACAAAGGCATTAGAAGATAGGAAGTGCACCCAACCATTTCTGTCCTGCCCAGGACTCGATCTAAAAATTCCTGATTGCGAGTCAATAACAAACCTTCCATACTACTGGGACCCTCTTTAAAATAGTCCAGATTGTTAAGCGGTTCACACTGTAAACACTAGCAATCTGTGTTGAGTTTTTTTCCTTATCAGAGTACAGTACTTGATTATTTCTAGCTTCATCTTTGAGATATAATGGGTCACCTCTTCCTTGGCACTGATGCATTACTTGCACACTTCCTCTTTCTTATCAGCCAAGTCAAGGATAGAGGTCTTACTCTCCAGGGAAGAGAGAGAGGGAGGGATCAGATATACATTTCTTGCCAAAAGATGGAGTGAAGTTGGGAGTGGTAGATGCTATGAACTATGCATATTTATCATCTCAAGAGGAGAGGAAAAATAAAGGTATTCAGGGCAGGGTTAACATCAGTCTGAATGGTCATTGTCTGGGAAGGGTAAAAAGACAGAGAAAAAGGGTGGAGGAGGATGTAGCCTATGTCTGAGAGGAGCGCACATTGGACACACAAGAGTGAAGAGGTTAGGAATCGTGTGGCAAAATATTGCAAGAACAGACAGAAGACCGAGAAGAAAGGGCACGAACACAGGAGGCACAAAAGGCACGCGACCAACATCAAAACCGTGGAGCTGGAGAGAAAGGCAAGTTGTTGGAGACGTCAGGATACAGTTCTGGAACTAGAGACCGTGGAAGGAGAAAGAGGGAAGTCCTAAACTGCAGCTTGAGCACAAGTCATGCCAGAGAAGAAGGCAACACAGTAAATATGGAACCTCGCTTTGGCTAACGATATATGGTCTGTTTCAAGTTGAGGAAAGTATACAAATTTATAATCCATCCACGACTGAAAAAGGCAGAATAGGCATCACTGCAATTAGTGCAGTGATCAGGGAAAGAATAACTGAACCAAGTATTGCCAGATTTACCACAAAAAGGGCAAAGGAACACCTTGTTATGACAAGTTAAAGCACAGAGTTCACATTTCCCGAGGGCCATTAACACTAGTGGCCTCGACGAGGACAGGAAGCCAGTGGCTTGTCAAAAGTCCCGCTCATTTGCCCTGATCTTTTCCAGTTAGATTTTAACATTTAACAGAGTTTTGGCATTTCCGGCTTTGGCGGTATTCCTTCCAAATTCTTTCATATCATGATTGGCATCAGCAAGAATTACCATGGGTGAGAGGGTACAACTATTAAGTGTTCTTTATGATGCAAAGGGTTATAGAAAGTCTATTGCAAAGAGGCCAAGTGAACAAATCGATATGGATAATAAAATGGCCTTGGAACTCCAAAATTGTCTTATGGCCCCTATGCCAATAATAATAATAATAATAATAATAATAATAATAATAATAATAATAATAATAATAAATATTTTTTATTTAAACAAAAGTACATGCATACAAAATAGGGTACAAGAAGAATGTTAAAATTTCTAGTTAGGGCAAGTACTATGCCCAAAGTACTAATATGCACAGGATTTTGGGCAATATGTGGAAAAAATGAAAACTAAAGAAACTACTGTAAATGAGACCAAAAGTAAAAAAAAGTAGACAAAAAAAACGGGCAAATACATGGTGGTTGGTACAGCAGAAATTGCAACAGAACAATATATAGTAATTTTCACTAAATCATGAGGATCTTTGTCCCCTGTTGCAATGTGAGACAGGAGGAGGACTGTGCTGGTGTTGGCATTCAAACCCCTGTTTTTGGGAGACTCAAACCAGAACCTCAGCAATGCACAAGAGGGAGAGAACTTTGACAAAGCATGCACTACAATGGTTGGGATGCACTGCAACAATTTAATACACTACCAACTGTTCAGTTTGTGAAAATCATCAGGAATGGCAGGACCTTCAAAATATGAGAAAAATATTTATATTACATAGGTGGACCAAACAAATTATTGAACGAGGCGCATGGAAAGGGATGGAGCAAAGCAGTACAAGATTATGATGCCGACCACAACTATTAGTGCTGCACATGGCGACGAACTAGTAGCCACAGACTATGCTGGAGAGATCTGTCAAGGTTACAACAGTGGCAGAAAGAAAATTACCAGGGGGAAAGTCTAGAACAGAGCAGGGGGAGAGAGTCCAACACAGCAAGAGTCGCAAATTTGCAGAGCTAGTAGGGAGGAACCGGCCCCCCCACCCCTCTTGGGAGATGAGGAAAACCAACTTGCAATGCCTCAGTCTTAAGGCCTAGTTGTCTGCTATATGACTCAAAGGAGGAGAAGGGTGTATAAAAAACCACACTACTTACAACTGAGCCACAGAAAGAGGCATAAACATGTGTACAACCTCAGAGGTAACGGAGAGTATATGCAGGTAACCACTGGATGACCTGAATGACAGCCCAGGAATCGATAGGTGATACTATACTTCTGGCTGACCAGAAGCGTGCCGGCCAGACTAGCCAACTGATTTAGGTCGGGCCCAACTCGACCTCCTATGTTACCCCCATACCCCCTACCAGAGCAGCATGTTGCAGCCCAGGAGCTGCAGCTTCTGCCCCAGGGTCAATGACCAAATGAAGGATAACACAGATCTCCATGCATAGCACAGGCAGCCGAGCTGTGTGGTGTTTTCACTTGAGTACCATCGCAGGAGATGGGGTGGAAGCCACCCACACACACATCAGAGAGCAGTGCACAGGAACCCCCGCTCACCATATCAATATTTCAGTCCCCTTTGAGGGGACTGAAAGTATTAAATTTTAAAGCAAATGGTGAATTAGAAAATACAAATCTAACCTAACATAGGTTAAATTATGTTTGACCAAGGACATAACAGGGAATACAACTATAGTTATCTATAGTTGGTCAAGTTGGGTCTATGTTTTGTTTTGCCAAATACATTTAGAATGTACATAGATTATCAAAGATGTAGCACAGGAAATTTAGACTCCAATAGAACCCTAGAGGCTCTTAGAGTATCGACCATTGTAGTGATGTTAGTGAAGATGAAGTAGCAAGGATATGACCCCTGTTCTTCACCGTCTGTTGCTTTCCCTAAAAAAAAAGCTCAAATGGAGCTATTTTTTGTCCAGTTTTGGCATCACATTTTCACCCAACAAATAACCTTATGTTACGGAGCAGCAGTAGTTCCGAGCCCTGGTCAGGTACGGGTTACAGAGAAGATTCAGCAACATTTGTATTTCATCGTGGTTGGTCTCGTATGAGGCGTGGTGGACGTCTTGACAGTGCCACCAGGAATCTGCAGACACAACACAGGGAAGGATGGATTAAAAATTATAAAAACATAATAATTGTGAACAAGAAAGTCTAACAACCAAGAGGATAAGTCCTGCCTAGTCAGATGAGAGAAAAACCGACTGATCAAGAAACGAGCAAACATATTTCCTATCTGGAAATCCACAGCAGTTATTACTGGCATTATTGATTATAATACTGCTTTATCAGTTATAAATGTGTATTATCTGTAATTTATTAATACCTGTACACTATATCTATAAGAGAACTTGTCTCTAAAAAGTTGGAGGTCAAATGTTTGGGGCTAGTCGCACCCAAATTTCCAGGGAGAAATTTAGGGGGGGTTACTCAAATTTCCCCATTATGGGGAGTGATACTATAAATGCTACTCTGGGGAGCATTTGCGTACAGTATATGGAAGAGAACTATGAGGAGACGGTGCCAAGCTACCACAACTATATAGCATTTGCAAGGATTGAGGCTAAGGATTTGGGATGGGGTGGGGTGGGGGAGGGGGGGGGGGAAGGAATGATGCCCAACCACTTTGACAGTTGGGGATTGAACACCAACCTGCACGAAGCGAGACCGTTGCTCTATCGTCCAGGCCAAGTGGTTGGGCACTTGGGCACACTATGTCCATTCATGTATATAGAACAGACATGCACCAGTTGAGGTTGGTCCACAAGTTAAATGTTATAAGAAATACTTCATTTATTTATATACAAGAAGGTACATTGGGTTTATGAGAGTACATAGCATTAAATGTTTTTACATTCTTGTAAAACCACTAGCATGCATAGATAAGGACCTGCCTGAAATGCTAACAGATAATTTTAAGTAGGTAATTTCTAGCAAGATTGAAAAAAAAAATTTAAAGGTGTATAGTAAGAAAGTTTGACCAAGATTAGTAGGCACATTAATGTAAAATTTGAGGGTTATCAACAGGTACTTTGTACCATAATTTGAGGATTATTTAAAACTACAAAAACTATAATACAGTAGAATATGCATTCAATATAATAACCATCGTATAAGGTGATAGCTATGATTCCAATGGTAAAGTTGTATGGCTTAGGTACATAATTGGGGGATTGGGTAGCACTAGATACAGTGCCAGTTTAAAGCACTAGGTAGGAAACTATGAAGATGAAATTGGGTACTTTTTTTTTTGTTTTTTTGAGTAAGGCAATTTATTTGGGATTGAGTTCCATAGACTAGGTCCCTTTATTTGTGTAGTGTTTACACAGATTAAGTTTGTCTCCGGGGATATCAAAGCTATATTTATTTTTGGTGTGGTGATTATGGGTTTTATTACATCTGTCCAGGAGGTCTCGGCACAGGGTTTGCATTTAAGAACAGGGTTTTGTAAATGGCACAAGAGAATGTATGGAGTAAGTTTAGGTTTAGCATGTTTAGGGATTTAAACGGGGGCCTGAGTGTCATTTGAAACAATTAGTCCCCGTGGTGTAGTGGTTAAGACACTCCCCTGGCATTTCGTGAGCACTTTGTATTGGGTTCGTATCCTGGCTGGGAAAATTTTACTGGGTGTCAATCCTTAACTGTAGCCTCTGTTTACCCAACAGTAAAATGGGTATCTGGTTGTTAAACGATTTGGCGGGTCGTATTCCGGGGAATACAGGAATAAGGCCTTGTCCAAAACGCTACGAATGCTAGTAGCTGTACAAGAATGTAAGAACTTGTATATATTAAATAATTAATAAATAAATAAATAAAGTTTGTTATTGTTCTGATAGCAGATTGTTGCTGGGTGATGATGGGCTTGAGGTAGTTTGCAGTGGTTGAACTCCATGCACAGATACCATATATAAGATAGGGATAGATTAGCACGTAGTATAGTGAGAGGAGAGCAGAGTTTGGAACATAATATATGATTTTAGAGAGTATACCAACCATTTTTGAGACTTTCTTTGTTAAGAGTTGCATGTGGGTGCTGAAGTTGTACACTGAGACATTATTGTACATGCATCTAGTATTAGGCTAGACGAGATATTCAACAATACATGGCACTATCATAGATGGGGGGGGGTCTGTAGAACCGTTGGTTTCATTCTCAACCCACAATCTGGGAAACCTGGGTTCGAATCCTGGGCAGGGAAGAAATGGTTGGACACGTTTCCTTTCACTTAATACCTCTGTCCACCCAGCAGTAAAAAATTACCCTGGAGTTAGCCAACCTTCGTTGGTATTGCATACTTGCCAGGGTCAGTAGTTTGACCTGGGGGGGGGGGGAAGTGAGGGAAATGACCACCATGGACAAGCCTAATGTCTATACATACACAGGCTGCCTGTCTCTCGAAAAATGTATTACAGTATTATACTTTACCTGTGTAGAGAGGTTCATATAGCGCCGAGTTGTTCCACAACATGTGGCACTCTCGTATATTGGCAAGGTTAAAGGGCAGGGTCGAGTCCCAGTGCCACATCCCCGTCGACCTGCCAAATTATAGAGCCAATCAGATATACATTATTGCCACTTAGTCATAAATTTTAATACATACGAAAATAATTCCTGTTGTCGGGGACAGGAAGCCTGTACTTAGGTTCATCAAGGCCACTGCCTCTCCCTAGGCCAACTACTGACCCTCCCCAGGATGCAATCACATTGCCAGACTTTATTAATCAAATAATTACAGTATACATGTAGTTACATCCTGCAATAATACCAAGCCATATAATATACAATACATATATACATCTTATACACATATACACTGTGACGGTAAAAAATAGGTGTTATCGCAGTCTTCCCTAGGCAGATGGAATGCTTGTCACAAAATTAATAATTAAAAAACAAAAGTTAAACTGTAAGTTGCCTTCACTGTGAAGTTAACTGTAGGAGAAAACATACAGAACAAAAATTTAAAAATACTTTACTTTAATAGAAATTATTTTAAACAAATTACAAAATATATAATAATATCCAGGCTTGGCTTTAATACACGTGCAAAACAAACAAGATGAACAATCAAATTTACATTACATTAAGGTGCAAAATAAAATATGGTGCAGAATACCATGAGCCAGTCTGACTAAATCCGTTACCACACCGAGAGTGTCAACGGGTCTACTCAGTTGAGCACACAGGAGTAATCTGAATCTTTGAGAGCTTGGTAGCCCTATTTATACGGAATATCGGCCAAACAGATTTATTTATTTATTTATTTATATATATACAAGAAGGTACATTGGGGGTTAACAGGGAACATAGAGTTTAAGTTGAAATTACATTCTTGTAAGGCCACTAGCATGCATAGCGTTTCGGGCATGTCCTTAAACTAACCTTAGAGCAAATCCTTAAACTAACAGATAGTTTTAGAGAATTAAGAGTAAAATGGAGCTGATGTCTTCTTTTAACTATGAACCTGCTGTTAAACTGCTTGTTATAGAGGGCGTGGCCTCCCAGCGACCCAGGTGCGAGGTGGGGTGACGGGCCATGGTGCAAGAGGGAGGACTGGTTGTAGTTGTTCTTGGCTGCTGTTCTTGATTACATAGACGTGAATGAGTAAAATAGGCGATAATGGAGTAGGCCGAATCTCTTCCTAGAGATTTTACTGTGACAACACATATACACAATACATACATACACCTGGTGACACTATTATTCTCTCATCTATACTTATCTCAACTATGGTATTTGTGCTCGGGGTTCTACTACCCAAAATCATTTACGTCCTCTAATTACTCAACACAAAGCTGCTATTAGGACAATATCTAACTCTGGCCCCAGACATCATTCGGTACCCTTACTCAAATCTCTGAATATGTTAGATATTAATTAAGTCCCTGCACATCCTCTCATGTGTATTTTATATATAAAAAATGCTTAACTGTAATGTCAATCCTGACCTTAAAAGCTTCCTAGAAGGTTGTAACAGATCCCATGAGCACCACACCAGAAACAAATACCTATTTGATATTCCAAGAGTACGACTTAGTCAAACTAGAAATGCTTTACAAATCAAGGGACGTCGAATGTGGAATGACCTTCCCAATTATGTTAAAGACTGTACCTCTCCCAACCAGTTTAAGATAAAAACTAATACTACCTAATTAACTCAATGTAACCTACCTCACCCCCAAAATGTCAACCCATGTCTACTATTTTAAACAATGCTGTTTGTTGACCAAATTGTATTTTTGCTTTTTTTTCTGCCATGTTTCCCCCCTTTTTTTCCAATTTCTTCTTATTTTTTCTCAATACAATTTATACTTTAATCTCAATTAGTATTATGTTTTAGTCTGTGTTTTTCCTGCCCGAAACACTTTGTGTAATAGTGGCTTTAGGCATTGTATGTACTAGCTCTATCTATAAATCTATCAACTTTTGTATCTTACCTTGTATGTGTGTACTTTACCTTCCTTGTACTTTACCTACTTTACCTACATACTTTCAGGTATGTACTTTACCTGAATAAATATTTGTATTTGTATCTTGTCAGAGCCGGTGGCTGAGTGGACAGAACACTGGACGCGTGATCCTGTGGTCCCCGGGTTCGATCCCGGGCGCCGGCGAGAAACAATGGGCAGAGTTTCTTTCACCCTGATGCCCCTGTTACCTAGCAGTAAATAGGTACCTGGGTGTTAAGTCAGCTGTCACGGGCTGCTCCCTGGGGGCAGAGGCCTGTTTGAGGACCGGGCCACGGGGACACTAAAGCCCCGAAATCAAGATAACCTAGCTTAAGCACTTTCTATTCACTGTAACAGTAAGCAAACTGCATATGAACTAAAGCTAGAACAGTAAAGTACACAGTTCACGGACCTGTGTACATGTGAACAACAGCTGATCTGTCAGACACCCAAACAAGAACAGTCAATAGATAAACATGATAAAATGCCAATTATGTGCTGGTGTGTGTGCACACACACGCTTGTTTTGGAGTTGTGGGAGTGATTAGAGCTCGACAGTTCGACGGTTAGCGTTTTAGAAGAGTAGCCGGTAGAGTTGGAGGAGGGGATAGACTTGCCGAGTCCCTACCTTAATATCCTCCAGAGCCAGGCATCTACCAGCGGCAGGGCGTCCCGGAACTGGCCCATGTCAAGAAGGGTCTTCCAAAATGCCTTGGGATCATTTGGCAGTTGTTTAGTGCCTTCGAAGTTGAACCATCGGTACCTGTTGGAAAGAGGCTATAGCCAGTAACCACACCTGAAGAGAGAATGGCCAATACCCAATGACCAAGAAGGTGCAAGTCTCACGAATAATGACAAGGTGATGTGTGAGAAACTCTACAAAAGATTTCAGGACGTTTTTACAAAGGAGCCAGCGTGGAGACTCCAGTGATAAAAGGTCAGAGGAAACACTGTATAATATTGTAGTCACTGTTGAAGAGGTTACTTACATACATTAAATATATAAAAAGAACCCAATGGGCAAGCGGGTTTCAGTGGTTGAACCCCATGCATAGATACCGTAAGATAGGAATAGATTAGTGCATGGTATAATGAGAGGAGAGCAGAATTTAGAGCATAATAGCTCAATCAAATCAATCGAATGTTTACTCAGGTAAGTACATACATAAGGTGAGTTACAAACATAATGTTGGATTTATAGATAAGAGCTAGTCCATACAATGCCTAAAGCCACTAAATATGACTTTAGAAAGTACTATACCGTTCATATGAGTTTTTTCTTTTATAATTTGTTGTATATGGGTACTGAAGTTGTCTCTTAATTGTCTATGTATAGGCTAAGGAACTTTCCATCATTTTTATTGCTGGTGTTAACATTGTCTATTTGAAGCTGAATTGCATTTGTTGATTTGCTTCAAAATAATATGTAGTAGGTCTTTTTTATGTTTACTGTTAGTTTGTTGCTTGCCATCCATTAGTGGACTTTTTTTTAATTCGTTATTTGCAACATTATTTAATGTGTGGGGGTTGGGGGTCTGAGTAGACGAAGGTAGTATCGTTAGCAAATAGTATAGGTTAAAGAATGTTAGACACATTAGGCAGATCACTGATGTATATAAGAAATAGGTCCTAAGATGCTACCCTGTGGCACTCCTACAGTTAATGGTAGAGTGGGGAAGGTTATATCATTGATGGCTACATACTGGTGTCCGTCACAAAGATCAAATATAGTTCAGGGCAAGGCCTCGGATTCCATAATGGTGAAGTTTAAGTACGAGGTAGTTATGGTTAACAGTATCAATTAAAAGGCCTTTCTCAGGTCAATGAAGAGACCAATTGGGAACTCATTTTTGTCAAGGGCTGTGTAAATCATATCAAGCAGACAAATAATTGCATTGTTGTTAGTCTTTTTTGTGGGGGTGGGGGGGTGGGGTGGAAGTCAAACTGACAGGGACCAAGTACGTTGAATTTTATGAGGTAGGAGTAGAGCCGTTTATAAATAGTTTTTTCCAAATATTTTTGGATAATATAGGTAGACTTTAGACACTATTACTTGTGGTAAACTACTGGCCAACAGGGATTTGTTGACAGTCTCGAAGAGGCTATCATTATCCTTGGCGACTCCTCTGCAAACGCAACGATGACCTGCATATGCATATGTCGGAGGTGGGCGATGCTAATCTTTGATTGTGGTACAGCTTTGGGCAGCTGTTGGGCATCACCCACATAGGCCGTTCTTTATTGTTGTTAAGCATAAAACTAAAATTTCAAATGTGCAGAGGTTTGCAACTAAATAAGGTCCAGGAATAAAATGGTTAACCTATGAAGATTGTTTGAAGGAACTGGACCCCCACAAACCTGGAGAAAAAACAAAAGGAGATATGACCACACCACACAAGATCCACTAAATCTTTCGGGACACTAAAGCCCCGAAATCATCTCAAGATAACATGAAGATAGATCCTGAGGGGCAAAAGACAAGGTGGAGGGGGCCTTGTCTAAGGATAGCGTCTTTAAATTGATTTGGGTAGAGACAAAGAAGTGGAAACTGAAAACGCAAATGAGCTGAAGAAATGCAAGGAAATGCATATTTTACCTCGTTCTAGCGATCAACAAGTGGAATGCACTAAAAGTTGTGAAATGAAGGAATGCTCCTGTTACATTAGTCTATGCATTATCAACAGGATGCATTCCGACTGCTGTGCCTTACCTGCTCTGGGACAGGAAGAGTACTCTTGTCCTTTGGGCGAGGTTGGCAAAGATGGGTGCCACTTGAAGGCCCAACTTGTTCAGCTCGGAGAAAGGTACCAGCTCATCCACATCCTTTCTTATCATCAGCATCCACGACCCAAACCCTGTGGAGTGGTTGCATGAGGCAGAAAGGCCAGCGACTCATTAAGAGAGATGGGGCATAGGAAACAAAACTGGATATAGGGGTTATATTCTTGAGGTTATCTTGAGATGATTTCGGGGCTTAGTGTCCCCGCGGCCCGGTCCTCGACCAGGCCTCCACCCCCCAGAAGCAGCCCGTGACAGCTGACTAACTCCTAGGTATCTATTTAATGCTAGGTAACAGGGGCATCAGGGTAAAACTCAGCCCATTGCTTCTCGCCAGCGCCCGGGATCGAACCCGGGGACCACAGGATCACGCGTCCAGTGTTCTGCCCACTCTAGCTGCGACCGGCTCCCCTGGGGTAACTATTTATCACACTCGTATTACTGTTGTAAGGTGGAATACCATTTCACATTTTTGAATGGTAGACAGTGATTTATTATGCATTAAATTGTTCACCTGTTATTAATGGTTTGATGTTTGTCTGTTGGATGATGTGATCTTTAGACGAATAGCCATTCATAACTTTTTTTGAACACTTTTTAAGGGGTTCTTGACTATTTTCAACTAGAGATTAACAATTATGGCACATGGCAACCAGCCACCACATGTCAATTAGTTCAATTAACAACCTACCAGAATCAAACTTAATTAATAACCCTTTAATTGCCAGAAAATTATTCACAGCCTATATATATATGCTCTGCCAGCAGCCCGTCCTCCTAAGGTTGCCCAACGTCAAGAAACTGTCGTACTAACGTGCCCGTGTCCTAACCTACCAGAGGACCCAAAACAGAAAACGGGAAGTTGATTTAATTTCGCGAGCCACTACCATTCTCTAAACGATTTTTGGCCTTGGGGGTAGAGTATACGTCAAAATGTCACATTCTATTAGGACGGGGGATTGTAATTAAAGTAGAAATACATTAAACATAGCCTAATTAGCTAGAGCGACAAAGTATCCTAGTTCAGCTCACCAGCGTGACCCTTCCCCCACGGTGGTCCACACGGTACTAATGATTCCCATCAGAGACGTTATGTCGGCTGCTTCGTGTCCCATGTTGCCAGCTTCAGCTTTCTACAGTTTTCCCTAACAAATGACAACAGTTTGGTTTATTCTTACCAAATGAGGATTGCCTATATAACTGGTTAAATCATTTCTGATTGGTATTATGCATCATTATGTATATAACACCTGTTTTGTTAAATTTGTAGACAAAAGAGCTAGCAACGATGTCGTGTGTAGGAACTATATTAATTTAAGAGTAATAGAATTGCTCTAAAGTTATCATAAAGTTTTATTACAGGCAATTAAATGTGGCTGCTAATTCCACATTCCAAGATCTACTCCAAACAAAACTATTGTGCACTAATTACAATTGACACTTGTTCCCAGGGTTTCCACGAAGACTTTGAACAGCCTAAAGTAACCAGCAAGATGATAACCAACTTGCCAAAAGCATTCTATTCAACATACGGTCAGGAGAAGCGTAGAATATAAGCACACACTCTAGAAGGGACTAATTACGGGCTATTCATGCCCACGCCACCTCTAGGGTGGCTTAATCTTTATCAATCAATCAATCAATCAATCAAGGGACTAGCAGTTACAGCCTCGCTCCTATGCCAGGTAAGTCCACTACGGGCTCACCATAGCCCATGCTACTTGGAACTTTTTGTTCCCAGTAGCTGAATCTATAACAACGACAACGAAGGGACTAACCTTACGGGCTATTCATGCCCATACCAACTCTTGGGTGGCTTAATCTTCATCAATCAATCAAGGGACTAACTCCAGTTGCGGTTCAATGATAAACTGGATGTACTGCGGATTTTCTCCAACAATCATTAGCAACACTAGACGAGTCTAGTTCCAATACTCTCACAAGATGATGATGTTTTTAGATTCAGTTACCGTTAACCGTTAAATTTCTTAGCTCTCACAAGGGGGTGGGGCTAAATCAAGACCATTAATTAAAACATTTTACAGTTAAGCTAATTGCATAAATACGAATATTCGACATGCAAGCAGGTTTAACCGACTCTATATCTGTCTACGTTAGGCTGTTTGACCCACATACCTGTGACAATGACATCAGGGATGACCTCCGCCTTTACCCACTCCTCCAGTTTGGTCACCTTGCGGGAGCGAGTATGTGGGTCGAGATAATTGTCCCTCCAAGTGCCGAAAGGCGCCCATACCAGAGTCACTCTCAGCTCGTAGGAGCTGAGACGAGGGTCGTCATCAAGCAAGTCGTCCTCCGAGTAGCTGAAATCATACGGCTCCTTCGTTCTGTTCTTTCCCGTGTTTTCCATTTCAACGAAAGATAATGTATCATTGTTTCCGACGAAAACGTGGTTTATGTGCGTATTAGTATCGTTGGACTTTTTGGGGTAATAATTAATGTCTTCCTGGACCACCAGATCGCTATTATCACTATTGAGATGAAGTTCAGTGTTTGGATGAATGTTGGTGAGGTTTTCTCCATGACTGGTAGTGGTCGTTGTCATTGTAGTGGAGGTTATCTGGTTCGTGGACGCTCTTGGGTTCGTGGTTTTCACGGTGGAGGCTCTTGGATTCGTAGCGGTCACGGTGGAGGCTCTTGGGTTCGCGGTTTTCACGGTGGAGGCTTTTGGATTCGTGGTTTTCTCGGTGGACGCTCTTGGATTCGTGGTTTTCTCGGTGGACGCTCTTGGATTCGTGGTTTTCTCGGTGGACGCTCTTAGATTCGTGGTTTTCTCGGTGGATGCTCTTGGATTCGTGGTGGTCACGGTCGAGGCTCTTGGGTTCGTGGCGGAATCTCTTGGGCTGGTGAAAGTCTTCGAATTCGCGTTGGGGCGAGGCTTGCCCACAATATCAAATGTTGGCGGCCTGTGTTTATGGTGAGCGACAGCATATGTGAACTCTGCCTGCGTCACCTGGTGGACAAAACGATTAATGTATTGTGTTTATTGGTAGTATTATTATGTTATTTTGTCTTTGTATAATTCGTTAGCTCAGCCGATAGAGCTTGGGATCTCTCAGTCGTGAAGTCCGCGGTTCTAGTCTCTTAGTGATTCAAATTTAGAATATTCACATTTGAACTTAATAATAGTGTTTCTAGGTTCGGAGAAACCTAGAAATAGTGTATCTAGGTTTCTTGGCACACATTTGGAGTATTAAATTACGATTATTTATACCAAAAATATGGAAATTAGTGAAAACGGCGATTCATGGTCATATTTTGCCCAAATCCCCCCCTGCAGTTTTCAAAATACGATGCCTATCAGAAATAGGACTCTTGAGCGCTATTTCTGAGCGGAGTTCAGGGTGATTGCATGTATTTGGAGTTTTAAATTACGAATTTTTAATTAAAGACACATACATATTTGGAAATAAATCTTACAATAAAATAGATTCAAGAATAAAAACCTCTACGGCAAGAGAATGTCAGCCTATTCAAATTTGGATAAAAGTCCAATTCCCGTCTATTTAGTTGATTTTGACAACGAATGCAATAAAAAAACATTATGAAAAAAATTATTTCATGTTACATATATTACGTTCTGGAAACAATTGGGTTGGCAGATTGAATTTACATTATGTACATAAAAACGGGTTTAAGGCATTATTTTGGAGTTTATCAAGAGCCAATTGCTGGTACGACAGTAATAATATTTTCGTCATTAACGAATTCTTTGGTAATACTTCAATCCAATATTGTTAGGCTTCTAGCAGTCATAAAATCTAATTTCATCTTCTATGTATGTACTTTTACCAGAATAAAAATTTGAATTTAAATTTTGAATTTGAATTTAATAACAAAAGTATTCAGTTGGAGGAAGTTATAGTCGGGAGGGTTATTTTAAAATCCAAATTTTTCAGCTGCACACGACAGCTAAACGTATTATATCCTCATGCACGAGTGCGTGTCTCTATAATCACCTCTTTATTCCCGAGGAAGTAGGTGTAGGTTAGCTCAGGGGGCAGGAAACTCATGAAGGAGTGGATCTTCTGCCGTTGATTGGAGTCGCCGACGAAGGCGACCCAAGTCCTGGCGCCACGTGCTGCCCGCGCTGCCGAGCATTGAGCAACGCCCAACATATCGTACTGTTGGATCTGTCAGGAGGAGGCTGGATTATTAAGTGTTGCTCTTAGGGCCTATAGCAATCTCTGGAGAGTTATTAAGGCTAAGATATTAGCTTACTGCTACACGTATACTTTAGTCCTAAACACAGTCCGGGCATAAAATATATATGTATACTTTATAAAGTCTACATAAGTATTTCTCATTTGACGATACTCATTTTGGAGCTGGAACTCTTTTTGGAAATTCTATTTGATACAGATTTTGCAGTTCGTCCTACCCGTCCTCGACTCAAGTCTATTACATCAGCGGTCAACCCCACAGACGCATTCATAATTTTTTACATGCTGTTCATTCAAAACGGGAATTTTCTCAAATATAAATTAACATTATTTATTAGTATATTGTGCATATATAGGCATAGGTTAGGTTAGGTGTTTAGGTTCTGTTGGCGATTATTTGTATTTGTAATACGTGGGTGAAGCATTTACAGCGTTGTGGTTCGAACAAAATTCGCTAGGGAAGCACTTGTTCCGGAAGAGTTCGAACGAAATCAGTTGTGAGTTGTGTGTAAATCGCCTTTCATTCATTAACAGGGGGTTTGGCGGGTGGATGGAATCACTTTTGGGTCTTTGTTTGGAGGATGGGCTGGAATAAAAAAAAAATGACACGACTTTATTCATGACGTTCAAACATTTCTCGAACAGTGCTTCGCTGTGTTCAAGTCCTAAGTCTGTAAATGCTTCACCCACGTATTGCAAATACAAATAATTACCAACAGAATGTAAGCACCTAACCTCGCGGAAATTTCGACACATTATTTACTAACCCCTGACATACCAGGGCACCTCACCAAGGTAAGGCAAGGAAGGACTGTACAATCAAGGCAAGGAAGCACCTCAAGGTAAGGTACCAAGTTAAAACGGTTATGTCAAGAACATACTAACTTAACAAATTCATTCAATTTCTTTCTTTATTATGCACCCCATACCCATCCCGTGGGCGGTGGTGTAAAGGATTACAGAGGCACATAATCGGTTCAGGAACTGAACCGTCTAGTACGTTTAGCTAAGCAAATAACAATATATTGACGCTAATTACAAAATTATTAATGTTATATATACATGTACTTATCAAAGAGAATGGATTTCCTAGCGTTCTAGAGAGAACGGGATGTTGCCACGTATTCAAACTCCACTATACGTATCTCTCTCTCTCTTGTAGCAACATAAAACTTTAAATGCAACGAGTAAATAAGACCAAAAAATGACTCATTAAAGTTAATTTACCTAAATAAACAGTAAAACAAGCATCTCTTTCTCCCCCTACGTCGATAATAACGAGTTTGAACCAAGCTAAGGGAGCATACCCAGCAGAAGAGGGCCGTGTTTACATTCTGTTGCCCTGAGCGCTTGGTCACAGAAGCTCACACAGCACATTCAGCACCGCTCTTGTGCCAGGTAAGTCCACTACGGGCTCACCATAGCCCATACTACTTGCCCCGCTCCTGTGCCAGGTAAGTTATGAACTGACCATAGCCCGTGCTACTTGGAACTTGTTCCGAGTAGCTGAATCTATAACAACAACATAAGCGCTTGGCAGAGAAGCCGCCTGCACATTTTTTCTCTTAATTGCCAACCATAGTCACATTTCCCGAGTTCTTGACACTGGAATATTAACATTCATGCCCAATCATCAAACTCATTATACCAGGTAACTGTTATTTCCGAGCAATTGTTGTAGTGTGTGTTAAGAGGCTATTATCATGATCTTTATTAACGTTGCCCGGTTATGAGGAAGCCGCTAAATAAAATGAGGAAACCAAACTATTAATGCAAACCCATCTTCTTGGAATATATGCTGTGAAGGGGTAACAGTGACTTATTTGATTTAATTATGACTTATTTGACAGGTACAGTACGAGCAGACAGTATCTAGTCGAATTAGGTGCGCCACGAGGCTACTTAAGTCGCCATGGAACTCCTCCTTGCAAGGCTCCAGGATTAAGTGAAGGAAACCTGTGCCTATTACCAGGCTCTTACAACTCTTAGAGATAAGATCTGACCGTTCCACTAACCCATGTAGTAACCTAACTAACATTTCGTAGTTTATTGCTATCCACCACTGGTATTATAGGCTATATGAACCTACAACCTCCCCCTAAAGTTGTGGAGAGGTTGGACACAGCAGGACAAACCAGTGAAATACAGTTCATTCCTAATATAGACTCCATTAATATACAATCCATTTTCAATTACTTATCTTAAATTATATTTTTATTAAAGTGTATGAAGTAAATTCCTGTTGGAAAAAAAACACATAACGCAACCTAGGCCTACATATGCGCAATATGCTAACTATAATAATATTAATTGATATCTGAGAAAATTCCTATTTAGAATGAACAGCATGTTAAAAATTGCCAACAGATCCCTCGAAACGTAACCTAGGCTAACAAAACGTAGCCTACCCCCTAATAAAACGTAACACAGCTGCAACATAGGAACATACCTGACAGGGGATGTAAGGGACTGTCCAGTCCATCAGAGAGAGCCGAGGTCCCATAAATGTGCGTCCCGAAACGATGTTAGTGGCGTTGTCCATGTGTATTTCTACGTCTGGCAGGAGGGCGGGCAGCTGGCGGCCCAGCTCCTGGTACTGCGCGTCTGAGAGAAAGGAGGAGGGAGTGTTGTGATTTATTTATTTATATATATATAAAAGAAGTTACATTGGGTTTATGAGAGTACATAACATGATGTGTTTACATTCTTGTAAAGTCACTAGAACGCACAGCGTTTCGGGCACTTCGAAGTACCAAACAGCCTTATTTCTAAAGCCTGATATCCTGGTTCCCTAAAGCCTAACATCCTGGTCCCTGAAGCCTGACATCCTGGTCGCTAAAAAAATATAATTTTGACTCCTGGTATCTACCATAATTGCTTTCAAGATATCCAAGTACTAATTACAGGTTATGTTATCTACCCTGGCTATGTTAGCCCATTCGGTTCACAACCGAAAGATCCCGGGTTCGATCCCCGCGGCAGGGCAGTGACGTGTAGGCACGTTTCCTTTCATCTAATTCATCTGTTCACCTAGCAGTAAATAGGTAGTTAAACAGCTGCTACGGACTGCACCCTGGGGATGTGTGTACATACCTAGTTGTGTTTGTGGGGGTTGAGCTCTGGCTCTTTGGTCCCGCCTCTTAACCGCCAATCAACTGGTGTACAGGTTCCTGAGCCTACTGGGCTCTATCATATCTACATTTGAAACTGTGTATGGAGTCAGCCTCCACCACATCACTTCCTAATGCATTCCATTTACTTCCATTGTGTGTGTGTGTGTGTGTGTGTGTGTGTGTGTGTGTGTGTGTGTGTGTGTGTGTGTGTGTGTGTGTGTGTAGCAGACAGGAAAGCAGGTTGGGACTCAGGACATTAGACAACCGAGAATTAGAAAGGCGAGGTCCAGGAGCTAACGGCTCGGATTCTGCAGGCATAAATAGTAAATACACACACACACAGAAGAAAAAGAGGTGATATGATCACTACATACAAAATAGTAACAGGAATTGATCAAATCGATAGGGAAGATTTCCTGAGACCTGGAACTTTAAGAACAAGCGGTCATAGATTTAAACTAGCTAAACACAGATGCCGAAGAAATATAAGAAAATTCACTTTCGCAAACAGAGAGGTAGACGGTTGGAACAAGTTAGGTGAGAAGGTGGTGGAGGCCAAGACCGTCAGTAGTTTCAAAGCGTTATATGACAAAGAGTGCTGGGAAGACGGGACACCACGAGCGTAGCTCTCATCCTGTAACTACACTTAGGTAATTACACACACATACCTGTGTACCAAATGACGTCGTGTCCACCCTTGTCGACAGTGAACATAGCCTGACACTCCTGACGTCCCTGGCTGACACTATCAGGCGACGTCAGCCCTCCTGGCGTGTCCGTCGTCAACTGGGGACCAGAATACGTCCGTCCGACGTAGTACACCAACCCACACGCCACAGCGCCCGCCAGGATGACCCTGGAAGCCGCCAGAAACCCTCTACATTCCCGATAAAACCTCATTATCCCGACTGGCGACGAAGGCGTTCGCGAGAGTATCCAGAACCCGTTCGTGAGAGAATCCGGAACCCTCGAGAATGAGAGCGATACAGAATTACAAGTCTCGATTTAGCTACACCAGGAAAACGCTATATTTTTACGTGGCTTCGATTGAGGAAAAAGATGCAAAGTATTCCTGCAGTGCCTCCTAATTCAGCCCTTTGTCAGGGGTGTAGCCGTGATCAAGCTCCAATATACCTGAACTTGTCAATATTGTTGTCTATGCAGACGGGGAGTCACAATAACGTGGGATGAGATTGATTGATGGAGATTAAGCCACCCCAAGAGGTGGCACGGGTATGAATAGCCCGTAAAATGTTGGGTTAAGATGAACACGGTTTGATTATAGTGCAGGATGGACCGAAACGTCGTTGATTTTTTCACCTTCTGGTGCGTGGTGGGGTTATCACTGTTCTTATTCAGTTTAGAAATAATGTTATTTTGATTCTCTCTCTCTCTCTCTCGCTGTCTCGCTCTCTCTCTCTCTTTTGTACGACCCTAGCGCCATCGTCCTGGGGCCAGATTCACGAAAGCAATTACGCAAACACTTGCGAACCTGTACATCTTTTCTCAATCTTTGGCGGCTTTGTTTACAATTATTAAACAGTTAATGAGCTCCGAAGCACCAGGAGGCTGTTTATAACAATAACAACAGTTGATTGCAAGTTTTCATGCTTGTAAACTGTTTAATAAATGTAACCAAAGCCGTCAAAGATTGAGGAAAGATGTACACGTTCTTAAGTGCTTGCGTAACTGCTTTCGTGAATCCGGCTCCTGGTCGTTCGTGAGCTTCGCTAACGTCGTTTTTGTCAAGGGCACCGGATTTATACTGATTTGAATAATGTGGACGGTATCCTGTCGTCAGAGATGCATTGAGGTTCATTTAGTGTTTGTACACACGTCTATGTACCTGCAAGG